TGCTTAAGCTATAGGTAGATTAGTTCCAATAGGACCTTGAGAAAGAAATGCGCCTATTGCGTAGCTTGAAGCATCTGTTGTAAGGACAAATGGTTTTGAGAAGTCAGGATATTTTAATATCGGATTATTCAATAAAATATTCTTACAGAGATTAAATGCATCGATAAATTGTTTGTCATGAATTATTTTAACATTTTTCTTTGAACATTGAGTTAAAGGTTTGGTAATTTTACCAGTTTTTAATGAATTTCCTGTAGAATCCCACAAGTCCAAGAAAAGATTTTATTTCCTTTAGTGCTTTTGGAATTTTATATTTCTTTATTGCTTCTACTTTCTTTTCATTTGGTGTATACCATCTGAGTATCTGAGGTTATTCTATGTCCAAAGAATTCAACAGTTTTGTGGAGAAATTCACACTTATCTAATTAAATTTTCAAATTGAATTGAATGAGTCGTTCAAATACTTGTAAATAATCAAGGTGTTGTTGAAGTGATGTTGAGTATATAATTATGTCGTCCATATAAACTAAACATATTTTACCAAGTAATTCTTTCAATACATTTGCTATAGCTCTTTGAAAGGTTGAAGGCGCAGGAGCATTTTTTAGTCCGAAGGGTATTCGTAAGAATTCGTAATGTTCATGCTCTACATTAAACGTTGTTTTGGGTATGCTTTTGGGATCAATAGCGATTTGGTGGAATCCGCTCGCTAAATCTAATGTTGTGAAATATTGCGATCTTCCAAGCTCCGCTATATTAGGTAATGGATATCTGTCATCTATGGTTTTCTCGTTTATTTTGAGATAATCTATTTATAATGAGTCTGCTGTTTTTGGAACAATCCAAACAGGTGAGCTCCAAGGTGAACTCGAAGGTTGAATAATTTTATTTTGTAACATTTGATTTTTTACTTCCTCTTTATGAACATGAGGGTATCTATAACTTTTGGTATGTATTGGAATTTCGTCCGTTGTATTAATAACATGCTTAACTTGTTTTGAAAATGTTAAGGTATCTCCAGGTCTATGCAAAATTTTATTAAATTTTTGAATAAGTTTGAAGAGTTGAAAGCGTTCTTCAGCATTCAAGTGTTCATGTCTTATTAGAGATTTGAATTCGACTTTTTCAGGGTTTTTCTTTTGTATAGGTTTTGCATGTGACGCAGTTGTTTGTTTTTCAAAATTAAATATCTGAAGATTATCTAGGACAAAAAATGATCTGTCTGAGTGATTAAGAATATCTACAGTGTATTCCGCGTGTGGCTAAATTCAGCTGGTGTAGGCACCGTGGTGAAATGGTAGAAAAAGCAGTGTTGTTAAATTAAACAGAGTTTGACAAGCTGTGGTGTGGCATTGGCATTAGTGAATTTTAATCACCAAATCCGTGGCGGTGCACCATTTTGGTGAATTTAGCAACAGTTGTACACAAAAATTATTTTGAAAGCCTCCCATCTTCAAAAAAGTCTAAGGATCTAACTCCATGGTGCTCTCCTTCTTATGAAGAAGGTGAAGAAGATGATTATAAGAGCTAAGTTCTTATTTTTGTATTTTGTATGCTCATTTATTATTGTTTTTGAATAAAAAGTTCTTGTACAACATTGCTCTCTTGTTTACTACTACCTATTGTATGTCCAAAAAGCTAGAACTCATATATTGCATGTCCACACAAGTTCTCAGAAAATTATATTTAAAAAAATAATAAAACGATACTTGTTGCAAACTGCCCCTATTAGGGTAATTTAAAGATAATGTGCCTGAAAAGAAAAAACACAATGTGTCAAAATGTTATAGCCAGTGCACAATAGTTATTTAAACAACAAGTTTTGAAAACGACTCTTTTCGCACGGCGAGACAATTTGTTGGACCGAGCCTTAGGGGAGTTCCACAAGTCGAGCGAGTGTGAAAAAAGGTTTTCAAACGAGTTTTTTACAATGCTTTTCCTACAACTGCAAAATAAAACAACCAAATGTGATATTTATATTTGTTGGAAAACAAATCATCAACATCAGAAATTGATGACAATCGCAATGTATTTTGTCATGTCAGGATGACAGGACCAAAATAAATAAAAAAAACTAATTAACAGCGTGTGAAAAACGTTTTCGCACGCTGTGCGAAAAACTGTATTTTCAGAGGTTGCCTAGCATGCGAAAAACTCCATTTTCAGAGGCAGTTGTAGGAAAAAAATTATGCCAAATCTTTAACCTGTATTTGCCAAAAATCATGTTTTGGACATCTATAACTGCGCTTTAAACCATGGATATATGGTAATCGATTGCCGATGATTTTTTGTTTAATCCGAAGCTTGTAATTGAAAATTTTCCAATTGTTCAGCTAGAGTCCCATCAGTGGTTGAAGATTGATTAGTATTTTCGACATATTCAAATATTTGATTATCTGAATGAAATTCAGTTCCTGAAACGTAAAGTTAGGAGGTTTTCCTGTTGATTGAAAAGGTTTTTGAATATGTCTTACAGTTGACATATTTCTCCTAGGTTGAACGCTTATACACCTGACATTGGATGGGGGTAAGCTTGCTTAAATGTTGATTGATTTTTATTAGTCTGATTTAAAGGTTTAAATTGCTTTTGAGGTTTAAACTGAGTTTTTTTTTTGATTATAATTTTCTAAAAATGAATTTTTAAAGTTATTCTAACTTATTAAAATTTCTTAATTTGTAATAATGTCAATAGCAGTGTCTAGATTTTGAGGATTTTGGACAGTCAATATTATAGAAATTTTTGCCAGTAGATTTTGTGTTGCAGTTAACTCATTTTGATTTATTAATATTGTTCGCGCTTCTGCGTTTGCTATGTCCGTACAAATTTTAGTATTTATTTTTGTAGCCAAGGCTTTGAGTTTTTGGATATAGTCTTGTTACAGTGTTGATTAATTTTCCTTTGTTAAAAATATTAACTGTTATTATAAATTTGCTCGAGTGAGAGGATCACTGAATTTTTGTCTGAGGCCTATTTTAATTTCATCCCACGTTGTTAAGTCTGATCTGGTTAAGAGGAAATCTTCGGCAAATCCTGTTATTTTAGATTTTATAGCAAGATTGACATAGTCTTGTTGGAGGATGTCATTTTTGAAATATCTATTATGAAAAATATCAATTTGCTTTACAAAAGCCTCTAAATGTGATGGAGTACCTACCATCAAAAGTTTTTAAAAGAGTAATAGTTGATCTCAAAGCGTCAGCCATTTCGTTATTTATTAAGCTAAAATTATTATTAATATTAAAAGGTAAATTGTTGAAATTAAAACTATTATAATTGTTAGTATCATTTCAAAACAAGTGAAGTTTTCACTTTTTTTCAATTAAACCAAGTGAAATGAAACATTTGTGCAAAACCTTTGTACTACTCTAAATGAAAAAGATTAGAGACGGTTCTAAGGAAATCTTAGAAGAAATTTCTTATCCAAGAAATTCAAAAAGAGGAACAAAGCAACCTCAATCATCAAATCAACCATCAACAAGTGCAGAAGATCGGCATTTCAATCGACGATTTTGTGTGATGTGTGAAATTTCTTCTAAGATTTCCTTAGAACGGTCTCTAATCTTTTTCATTTAGAGTAGTACAAAGGTTTTACACAATTGTTTTATTTCACTTGGTTTAATTTGAAAAAAACTGAAAACTTCACTTGTTTTGGAATTAAACCAATGTCTTACCTAACAGGCTGTTCGATTATAGGAAGGGACTTACAAAAGTATTCCAATCTCTGACCTGTATCAAACGTATCTTCGCTGAGGAGATATACTGCTCAGGTTGGACAAGTCTGTAGTGGACACTAGCATAGGCCATAATGACCGGCTGGCTTATCTCGTTATGGCGAACCACACAGCGATGTCTGCCAGAAGCCAATAGCACTTCACTTATGTTCACTTTTGTTGTTGTTTGTTCCTTCCTTAACTGTTAAAACAGAGAGGTACATTCGCGTAATCCAATGAAAACTTTTCGAAAACCCAAAAAAAATACTCGAAATAATTGGACCCGAAAGGAATCCTACCGCCTGCGCCAGTTATGTTTTAAATGAAGCAACTCGTGTTTTTTTTTTTCAAACTTTATTACTTAATTCCGAGCTTAATTCATAACGTATGAACCCAGTGAAGCGAACTAAAGAACTAACTTATTATTGCCTTCAAAAAGGCTAGAAAAAATAGGGTCTATATTATTGTTGAAAAATATTTAGAAGGTAAAGTTTTATTTCGAATCGATTTTTGTAGGTTTGACAATCTTCTTTTTGAGACTTAATCAGATCTAGATTGTCGCACTTGATCGCCAGTTACAATAAACTTTTGTTCCAGGTGTCCCATCGCATATGTATGGTACCTATCGCCAGCTCAATACCATAAAAAGAAAAGAGCCTCCTGCATTTAATGAGCGACCAGATTCTCCGCAAAGCTTTACAGAATCACCATTACATTGGTATAACATTGAACGAGAGAATTTGAACGTCCGAAGAAGCGAGTCTCCACTGGAACTTTATGAGACTTTTAGTAGTTCACCAGAAAGTAGTAAGTTGAATGGTAAACAGTCAAAAATAGATACTGAGAATTATTATTTAGGCATAACATCACCTATACATGAAGAATATCAACACGAAACATCGCCTCATACCCTACCTCAATGGCCAACTAAAATTTGTGGTGAGATAACTTTTTGTGAATAAGAAATAACATCTAACTTTATGATAATGAAAATACAATATATGCAGCATTAAGCATGATTAAATTCCAATTATACTCTCTAATAAAAAAAGAATTTGCTAGAAACTTGACACATCCGATTAATAATAACACCTGCAAAAACACTCCAATAAGTCACTTTACATTTTTTTACTTAAACCCATTCAGTGTTCTACTAGTGTATCTTTTGTCATTGTTCAATCTGAAATATCAATATAATGCGCGCTTTCTCGTGACCCAAACGAATAAGATAGTAGGTATGTCTCAAAATCCAAAAATAACCCTGGATCGTTCCCTACCTTGAGTCCAGACGGCGCAATGCGGGAGACGCCCGGGACGCCTCATTCTTCGCTCACAACTCGTATTCGACCGACGTCTTCAAGATTTCGGGGATGATGACTTAAATCCAGCTTAAAATTCGAGAGCCGTTTACGCAGGCCTTAATCAACGAACAGACTTATATCCAATTGATTTTTACTTAAAATTCGTGTGGTGATTTTTTTTTTGTGCTCTATAGTGTTTTAGTTTTTATTTTTATTATTTTAATCGACTATTTTATCGATATCTGTGAAATAAATGTGGTGACAAAATGAATCGACAACAGCAACAGCAAATGTCGCAGCAGCAGCAACAAATGTCGCAGCAGCAAGAAACGACTACTCAGCAACAACAGCAACGGGTGACTAGGACTGAGCAACATGTCACTCGCCAGGTCACTGGACATATGACAGGTTAGAATAATATGAGGGTGGATGATTTTTGTTAAGCAAAAATGTCTAGTGTCACAAATTTTTGCTGATAAGGAAATATTGCTGATTGCATGGGTCAAATTTTTAATAAAGGATTGATTGCATATGAGCCCTGTTTAATCGTTTTTTGGCAAAATTTTTCTTCAAATTGTGTATGTTCTCTTGAAAAAAACGAGTTCCGGTTGTTTTTCATTAATTACTGATAAATTTGTGGTAACATGAGAAGTGCATGCTTAGTATTGACGACTGAAAAAGAGTGGCGAATATTTTTGCATTCATAGTGTCTGGGCTATTTTCAAATTTTTCTTTAAACAATTTATTAAATATCGGTGACCAATTTTCATTGGGGTATTTTTTAAAAAAAATCAATTGAATGTTGAATCAAAATCGAAAAAGCAAAAAACTTTAAGGAACTTTTTGGGAAACATGCAATTATTCAGATTTGGCATAGGTAGCTTTAGAATTCCGAACAAAAACCAAAATAATTCCAGATCGGCGCAAAAATTTAATAATAAAAAAAACTAATTGGTCCGCTAAAAGTATGCCGTGTCCGTAGAATTCGTACAGTAAAAATAGTTCCTCCTAAAATGGACGCCTGAAACGCGATCTCCAATGATCTAAAATTGTCGACGCCTGCGAGCCGTCACGACGGAAGGCCGATGCGTTTTGGACTCGTTCGAATTTCAGACAATGATTAATTTCGATGTGTGAAAATTTTGACTACCTAATTTTGAAATCCGAAAACCATATTGCTCGTGCTCATTAAAATAATTTAGGAAGCTTGAAAAATCACTGAATAACAATTCTGATAATTTTTTATAAATCTTAGGTCAACTCTGCTGAATTTTAACAGCAAATCAACCAATTCACAAAGCTCCTAAAAGGTTCTATGGTCTGTCATTCCAAATTCTACTATCACCAATTCCAAGTCACAAAAAAATCAATTTTGATCTGAGTTCTTGTTTTTATTGATTCTAATGCTCATTGTCCTTGTACTTCCAGATGATTCTGAGAAATAAATAAAAAGTCTCATCGTGGTTTGGAACGGAATAAAAGAGAAATAAAGTATAGAAAAAGCCTATGGGAAATGTACTCCATCACCTCGATGGAGCACATTTCACAGAACTTCCATGAAAAATAATAAAATTTTAAGTTTAAAAGGTAGTTGAGAAGACAAAGATTACTTTTTCACTCTATAATATTAACGATTTTCGTCCTATCAGCATTCCACCTTCCTTGTCCAAGTTTTTGCAGAAAAATGTCTTTGATCAAGCTACAGGCAAGCTTGGCACAGCTACAACAATCCTTAAGATCTTGATTTTGGTTAATACTCTTGGTTCTTTCATCAAAAAAGTGAACAATTCCAAGAGTTTTTTGGATTTAGTTATGAACGACCTTTGACTTAGTTGTTGGCGAAAGTTGACGCCTCTATAGATACCAAGTCGATGTTCTTCTTGACGATCTCGTATGTCACAGTCTACATAATTTCGAGCTTGGTTCCTTCCTCGATGTACAGGGTGGTCCAAATTGGACATTTTCTTATGGAAACATACCCTTTATTTTTGATTGGTGCAAACTGCATTTTGATATCTTCAACCGTTTAGCCGCTAGAGGGCGATTCTCGATTTTGAGCAATGCTATGAAAAGTTTATAACTTTTTATTTTTAGGCAGAATTGAATTCAGTAACGTTCTCAGTTTTTTTCTGGGCTCCGATTTCGAGATATTGACCAAAATCCGATTTTTTTCAATAGAACATCCTATGTATTAATAGCTTATTGGAAAGCTATGCCTTTGCTGATTTTAATGATATAAAGTTCGATAGGTTTATCCCCAACAGTTTTCGAGCAAAAAAATTATTTCTGTTTTTGTCATAAGAAACAATGTGTTAGAAAGAGACTTTCCTCATTTTCCTTATAGATATAAAGTCCTTTCCCAACACATTGTTTCTTATGACAAAAACCGAAATAATTTTTTTTCTCAGAAACCGTTGGAGATAAACCTATCGAACTTTATATTATCGAAATCAGCAAAAGCAGAGCTTTCCAATAAGCTATTAATATCAGGGCCGGTTCTAGCTCTTTGGCCGCCCTCGTGCAAGAGCTTGTTTTGCCGCCCCCCATGAGGAACTTTTTGCTTCGGGGGAAGGGAATTTTTTACAATATTCTATCAGTGGGCTCCGTCAAGTTAGCCCCCCCCCCCACATTCGAATTTTCTAACAAAATTGCAACCACTTACTGTGCTGGAAGTGTGATTTACTGTGCCGATGATATTTTGAACTGTGCAGTTCCGATACCAAAGTTATAGGAAAAACAAGATGGGGGCTAACTTGACGCTCAGTTCCCCCAAAATTTTTGGAAATCAGATCAAACAAAAATGGATTCTTATGCAATCTGAAGTATGCTGAACTGTATGCTGTATCAGGTTTTCTCAAAAATTCCATACCTATTCGGTAATTTTCCGACAAAATCCTACTAAAGGGGCTAACTTGACGCTCAGCCCCCCCAAAATTTTAGAAATCAGATCAAACAAAAATGGATTCTTATGAAATATGAAGTGTGCTGGACTGTGCTTATCAGATTTTTCTCAAAATTGCCATATTCGGTCATTTTCCGACAAATCCTACTGGGGGCTAACTTGACCCTTAGCCTCCCAAAATATTGGAAATAAGATGGAACAAAAATGGATTCTTATGCAATCTGAAGTGTGCTGGACTCTGTTGTATCAGGTTTTTCTCAAATTTACATATTCGGTCATTTTCTCACAAAATCCTACTGTGGTGGGGTTGGGGATAGCTTGACGCTCAGCCCCTCAAAATTTTTGAAATTAAGTCAAACAAAAATGGAATCTTATCCAATGTGCATCAGTACAAATATTTAATTGCTTCGAGTGTGCCACACCAGTGCCGCACTATTTTTGCGAACGGATTTCGCTATTAAAGTGATTTTCAGAAAAACCTGATACAGCACAGTTCAGCAAACTTTAAATTGCATAAGAATCCATTTTTGTTTGATCTGATTTCCAAAACTTTGGGGGCGCTGACCGTCAAGTTAGCCTCCCAGTAGGATTTTGTCGGAAAATGACCGAATGAGAAAATTTTCAGAAAAACCTGATACAGCACAGTTTAGCACACTTTAAATTGCATAAGAATCTATTTTTGTTTGATCTGATTTCCAAAATTTTGGGGGGGCTGAGCGTCAAGTTAGCCCCCCCAGTAGGATTTTGTTGGAAAATGAACGAATATGGAAATTTTTAGAAAAACCTGATGTAGCACAGTTCAGCACACTTCCGATTGCATAAGACTCCATGTTTGTTTGACCTGATTTCCAAAATTTTGGGGGGCTGAGCGTCAAGTTAGCCCCTCATCTTGTTTTTCCTATAATTTTGGTATCGGAACGGCACAGTTCAAAATATCATCGGCACAGGGCACATTGAAGCACACTTCGAGCACAGTAAGTGGTTGAAATTTTGTTGGATAATTCGAATGTAGGAGGGCTAACTTGACGGAGCCCTATCCATGGGTGGTACGTTTGTTGTTTATCGCTAGCAGGTGATTGGCCAAGGGCGCTCGTACTACTTTTCAGGGGTGCTCGTACCACTTGGCAGGTAACACGCGCCCCAACAACTGGCCGCCTGTTCGTGCAATATAGTTTGAAGGTATTTGTCTCTATTTTTTTTCAAATCTGTATAAAAATATATTAATATACCTAGATAGAATATGCCGCCCCCTTGGGCTGCCGCCCTCGTGCGGCGCACGAGTTGCACGAGTGTAAAATCCGGCCTTATATATAGGTTGTTCTATTGAAATATGAGCCTCAGAGTGGAGGGTCCGTTTTTTTTCATCTCCAAAAATAAAGAGCGTTTCCATAAGAAAGTGTCCAATTTGGACCACCCTGTACAGGGTGTCCGAATTTGGATGGTTTTAATAGGAAACATCAATTTCTGAGCAAGATACAAAAAAATAAACCCCCCACTCCGAGGCTCAACTTTCTTGAAATTTTGATTGGTGCAAACCGCATTTTCAACTGTTTAGCCGCTAGAGGGCGATTCTCGATTTTGAGCAATAATGTGAAACCATCATAACTTTTTTGTTTATGAAAATTATTGATTTCCATAAAAACTATCTAGAAGCACTTTTTCAAGCAGAACTCAATGATGTTCTCAGTTTTTTTTGTAGTTGGTCCCAACTCCGAGATATTGACCAAAGTCTGGTTTTTTTCAATAGGACTCTCTATATATTAATAGCTCATTAGAAAGCTCGGCTTTTTCTGATTTCAATGATAAAAGTTCGATAGGTTTATCTCTAATAGTTTTCGAGAAAAAAAATTATTTCGGTTTTTGTCATAAGAAGCAATGTGTAAGAAAAGGACTTTATATCTGTAAGGAAACTGAGAAAGGTCTCTTTCTAACTCATTGTTTCTTATGACAAAAGCCGAAATATTTTTTTTCTCGAAAACTGTTAGAGATAAACCTATCGAAATTTGTATCATTGAAATCAGCAAAAGCAGAGCTTTCTAATGAGCTATTAATATATAGGGTGTTCCATTGAAAAAAATCGTATTTTGGTCAATATCTTGAAATGGAGGCCCAATAGAAAAAAACTGAAAACGTCACTGAATTCTGCTTGAAAAAGTGCTTCTAGGAAGTTTTTACGGAAATCAGTTATTTTCATAAACAAAAAAGTTATGAAGATTTCACAGTATTGCTCAAAATCGAAAATCGCCCTCTAGCGGCTAAACGGTTGAAGATATTTAAATGCGGTTTGCACCCATCAAAATTTCAAGAAATTTGAGCCTCGGAGTGGGGGGTTCATTTTTTTGTATCTCGCTCAGAAATTGACGTTTCCTATTAAAACCATCCAAATTCGGACACCCTGTACATAACCAGATGGCGTCGCTTTTATTGAAGGGGCTCATTGATTATCATTTGTCGAGTCTCATCACAAACATCGATTGATTGATGGTTCGACGGAGCCTCTCGATCATGTGGAAAAGTGTAGTCGTTCTGGTTCACTCTGTGCCTAGTAAACATCATCAGTTTTCTGGAATATGAAGATTTCTTTTCTTACTTTCTGTTAAACTGACTGGAACTCGAGAGATTCTTGCATGTGATTCAAGCTTCTGGAAAAACAATTAAATCACTCATTTATAGGAACGTTTTTAAAACAATCAAACGCCAAAACAATTTATTTTAAGACATTTTGCCAATGTATATTTTCTTTATCCGGGTGTGTTGTTCTGATATGCAGTTTAGACCTAAATAATTTATCGAGCTTATTTTTAAGTTCGGAAATATCAAATCTTTACTTGAAATATTGTTTAAACTTAGTACAGGCACGGTACATACATTATATCATAAGTGGGTATAAATACAAAATATGCCAATCAGCATTTTATTACGATGAAACCATAATCATAATCTGAAAATAGTGTGTTACTAAGTAAGCTTCAAATTTAAGATAAGCGTTCGCTTTTATGAGATAAACATTTTTAAAGCCTTTGGCTCGGATCCAAGTGAAATTTTTCAATGTTACTCTGTTATGACATTTTTAATTGTGAAAGCGAGTTTTCTATTTTGGCATTCAATGGATTCTTTTGAAAATAATTGGAAATTCAAACCAAAAATTTTGTTTTTGTCCTGCTTCCTATTGAATTTGAATTTCAAATGAATTACTGTAATTTTGTTTTCAACTTATTGTTTTTGAAAAACACTTTCAATCACGTTATCTGTTCCAAGTTGACAGAGTTTTTAGAAAAATCCCAAACCCAGACAACAATTTCAGTTGGATAAAAAAAGTCAAACTTGTAACTGATTTCCATTAAAGCTTTGTTCCAACCCAGCAGGAAACCGTAATATTATTACCATCAGGATTCAGCGCAAAACCGAAAATTTTTGCGTAGAAAACGAAATTCGTATACAGAGTGGTTCCGAAACCATTCTGAGACGGTTTTTTGACGGGTTTGAACAAACCGAATATCAACATAAATATGTATTTGCATTATTCCTGACACAAGTATAGTCTTCTGTGTTGTTTTCAGTGCAAGGTGGCCAGCTCACCCAAGAACAAATCCAACAAATACCCGGTTTTGGACCCAACGCCTCGCCTCCAGTTTTCGAAAAAGTGTTTAGCAACGCTCGATTCGCTCAAGGAGGTGTCGCAGCTTTTGAAGGTCGCATTACCGGCAAACCCCAGCCCCAAGTGTCCTGGACAAGGAAGGGCGCGCCACTGCTCAATTCCCAGAAACATCGACTTTCATATAACGAAACGACTGGAGATGTTACGCTCCAGGTAAAAATATTTTAATTTTATGAATGTGTATTTCATATCTTTTTTTCTTAGATACATCAAATTGGCCCTGGAGATGAAGGTGAATACGTTTGCACCGCCAAAAACCAATACGGAGAGGCCGTGTGCTCCGTGTACATCTCTCCAGAGGGCATGCAGATGCCTCAAAGATTTTCGCAACAAAGCCAATTTGATAAAACGACGACTTATTCTAATGGTACCGTGGTTACCGAAGATTTTAAAATTGATACATTCGAATATAGGTAATTAATATATTTTTATTCATAAAATTTGCGTTTAGTAAGACGATATTTATTGGTGCCAAATCTCAAACTCAAACTTAAAACTTTCCATTGCTCATACTAGGAACCCTACTTTCAAATAATGTTTTATTGCCTTACTTATTTTCACACAATACTTTTATACTTCGCAGACTGCTTCGCGAAACCTCCTACCGAGAGACCATCACAAGACGTTCCACTTACGAGAAAGATTCCGAAATATCCACAACAGTTGAACGATCGCTGGGACCACCAGCGCCGCCGCAAATTTCCCAAAAACCTCGCAACTCCAAGTTACTCGAAGGTTCCGATGCTGTATTCACATCCAAGCTATCTTCTAATCCTAGACCAAGGATAACCTGGTTTAAGAACGGACAAAGAATCGTGGAAAGCCAAAAATACGAAAGCGTTATGAGTAATAATCAAGCATCTTTGAGAGTCAAACAAGTTACTGGAGATGATTCTGGACATTACACTATGTTGGCGGAGAATCCCCAAGGGTGTGTAGTATCATCTGCGTACCTCGCTATTGAACCAGTCTCAACGCAAGAAGGTTTAATCCACGAATCAACTTTCAAATCTCAACAAACTGAAGTTGAAACTACAGATACAGCTAAAACGCTTGCACCTAACTTTGTTCGGGTGTGCGGAGATCGTGACGTCACTGAAGGAAAAATGACTAGATTTGACTGTAGGGTAACTGGACGTCCTTATCCAGAAGTGTTATGGTTCATCAATGGACAACAAGTTGTAGATGATCATAATCACAAAATTCTAGTTAATGAATCTGGAAATCATTCTCTAATGATTACAACTGTTGGTAGAAACGACTCAGGAGTAGTCACTTGTGTTGCTAGGAATAAAACTGGAGAAACATCTTTCCAGTGTAATCTGAATGTTATTGAAAAAGAGCAAGTCGTCGCACCTAAATTTGTCGAAAGGTAACTTAGTTAATTATAAAATTCAGCAAATATTTATATATGTTAATAAATTATAGATTCACCACAGCTAATGTTCGCGAAGGCGAGCCGGTCCTACTCAATGCTCGAGCAGTTGGTACTCCAACTCCAAGAATTTCATGGCAAAAGGATGGAGTACCTCTACAATCTAACCAAGATGTACGCATCAATATCGATGGGGGTGCCACCACTTTAGATATACCCAGACCAAAACCCAGCGATGCTGGTTGGTACCAATGCACCGCCCAAAACGTAGCTGGGTCTACTGCAACCAGAGCACGCCTATTCGTAGAAACGCCACAAGGACCGGCCCCTGAAATAAAACGCCTGCACTTTCCAAGACCGACGCGAGTCATCGAACCTGAGTAAGATTTTTATATTGTCCAAATAAAATTAATCTCATTGCTCAAAATTTAGACCCGAACCTGGCCCGGAAGTTATTTACCTCCGTCACGTAGAACGATCTAGACCACATGCCGCTCCAGGCGAAGAAGATCGAATTTATCCACCACCCCGTTTTATTGTACCTCTACAAGATTCAGTACAGTTTGAAGGAGGCAAAGTACACTTCGAGGCCAGAATAGAACCAGTCGGTGATCCTACTATGGTCGTCGAATGGTTCTTGAATGGTAGACTTATGGCAGCTAGTAAGAAACGAATGCTTGATTTCGAATTAAGGTTGCTAAAAAACTTGTTTTAGGTTCCAGAGCTACCTCAATTTTCCGCTTTGGCTTCATTGCCCTCGACCTAATTTCTTTGATCACACACGATGCTGGAGAATACGTTTGTCGCGTGACGAGTGCTACTGGAATCGCAGAGTCTCGCGCCATTCTCCAGATAAGACAACGAGAATCTATTGAAAAAACCAGTCAACATCCTGATAGTTTGCAGTACATTCATCAATTGGAGGATTACTCTAGGTAAACAATTAGGTTCAACTATTGCTTTTTGATGCTTATATCAATGCCATTACAGGTATCAAAGACAAGAAAGTTTGGAAGAAAGAACTAACCAAAAACCTCACTTCATCCGTCCGCTCCAGGATTTGGGTGAGCTACAAGAAGGAAGAAATGCACACTTTGAGGCGCAGTTGACTCCTGTTAGCGACCCAACCATGAAAGTTAGCTTTTTTTTTTATAAATAGAATTAACTTAGTTATACTAAAACGTGCTCCAATTCTAGGTGGAGTGGTACAAAGATGGCCGACCAATTACCGCCAGCTCTAGGATCTCTACCATCTTCAACTTCGGTTACGTGTCTCTCAATATTATGCACCTACGTGCCGAAGATGCCGGATCCTACACTGTGCGCGCTGTAAACCACCTAGGAGAAGCTATTAGTACTGCAACTGTTCAAGTTTTTAGTAAATCGACTGTTACTGGTGATCTAGGAATCCCCGAGCAACAACGCTACATTGAAAAAGTCCAAGAGCTTGAATCCTGGAAGCAACAGGATCATCAGAAATATATTGTAGAAACACCTGAAAGCTTGGCCCCGCCAGAATTCAAAACTCCTATCAAAGACCAACTAGGAATTCGTGAAGGCGGTTTTGCCCACTTTGAAGCACGCCTAGAACCCGTTGGTGATGCTACCATGAAAGTTGAATGGCTCAAAGATGGCCGTCCAGTTGAAGCTAGTTCTAGAATCACAAGCTTCTTCAATTTCGGTTACGTTGCTCTTACGATTAAAGAAGTAACGATTCACGATGTGGGCCATTATACCTGCAGAGCTTATAATGCTTTAGGTCAAGCTACCACCACAGCTCAGCTAAGCGTTGTCAGTAAAAAAGACATAATCTTCGACTCTCAACATCCTGGCGGCTTAGAAAAAATCCAGCATTTGGAAGATTCCAGCCGCTACATGCGTAAAGAACAAGAAGAAGTACAAGTTACGCAAAAACCAAGGTTTTTGGGACCACTCAAAGGAACCAATAGAATTGTAGAAGGACAGCGAGCACATTTTGAGGCTCGCGTTGAGCCTCAAAGTGATATGACCTTGAAAATTGAATGGTACTTCAACGGGAAACCCATTCAACCAGCCAATAGAATCCAAACTTACCATGATTTTGGATATGTCGCCCTCGATATTTTGAGTGTAAGGGAAGAAGATGCCGGTACTTACACAGTGGTAGCCAGAAATATTTTGGGAGAAGCTCAAGTTTCTGCTAGCATGGTAGTTGAAAGTAAGTTCGCTCCTTTCACTATTTTCTTGTTTGCTAATTTTTTTTCGATTTTCAGCTCGTGCTAGTATCGATACTAGAAGCATGCATAAAGGAGCTTTCGATAAAACCCAACACTTGGAACAATCCAAATTTGTCGAACCTCAATACCACATTGAAGAAATCTCCAAATCCAAGCCTGTATTCGTTGTCCCTCTATCAGACCCACAGCCTTGCCCTGAAGGCAGAAATATTCATCTCGAATGTAGATTAGAACCCATGGGAGACCCAACAATGAGAGTTGAGTGGTACTGCAACGGCAAACCAGTAATTGTAGGTTCCAGATTCCGAACTTACAACGATTTCGGATTTATTGCTCTGGACATTATCCATGCTACTGCTCAAGATTCTGGAGAATATACTGTCCGTGCTGTGAACCATCTTGGATCAGCACATACCTCGGCTTGTGTGAGAGTTATCGGCAGTTCAGATATCATCACTGATAGCCAACATGAACAATCCTTGGAACAAATTCAAATGCTTGAAGATTCTTCACGTCACAGAAAGCAAATTCAAGAAGACGTCACTGTGCTTCAAGCTCCTCAATTCACTAGACCATTGCATAATATTGAAACAGTAGAGGGTACTAACATTCATATGGAGTGCCGTCTGCAACCTGTAGGTGACTCTACAATGAGAGTTGAATGGTTCTGTAATGGTTTTCCAGTAAAAACTGGCCATCGCTTCAGGCCTGCCTACGACTTTGATTACGTAGCTTTGGACCTATTAAGTGTTTATCCTGTAGATTCTGGAATTTATACTTGCCAAGCTAGAAATCAATTGGGAGAAGCTGTAACTTCATGCAGCGTGAAAGTTATTGCTAAAAGAGATTTATTATTTGACAGCCAACATCCGGCTGGCTTGGAGAAAATTCAACATCTTGAAGATTCTTCTAGATACAAGCGTACTGAGTTTGTTGATGAACAGGTCACAGTGAAACCAAGATTTGTTACCAAGCCTAAAAATTTGGAAAATACTGTTGAAGGCCAACATGCACATTTTGAATGTAAAATTGAACCGGTAACTGATTCAAATCTAAAAGTAGAATGGTTCAAAAATGGCAGGCCTGTTACAGTAGGTCACAGATTCCGTCCAATCCATGACTTTGGTTATGTCGCTTTGGATATTGTTGATTTAATAGCTGAAGATTCTGGAACCTACACTTGCCGCGCTACAAATTTAATTGGTTCCGATGAAACCACTTGTGCATTGAAATGTAGACAAACTGGGCAAATCATTACAAGCACTGTCAACGAAACTGGTTTGCAACAAATTCAACATTTGGAAGATCGTTCCCGTTACCAAAGACGTGAAGATATTGACGAGACTACCACTCAAGCTCCAATGTTTACTACTTCTTTGAAAAATATTGATATCAAAGAAGGCCAACGTGCTCACTTCGAATGCCGTATAATTCCGGTATCAGATGCCACAATGAAAGTAGAATGGTACCACAATGGACAACCACTAAAATCTGGTTCAAGGTTCACTGAAACGAACAGCTTTGGATTTGTGGCCTTGGATATTTTATATACTTACCCAGAAGACGCTGGAACTTACACTTGCAGAGCGGTCAATGCTCTTGGAGAAGCTGTTACTTCAGCTATTTGCAATGTACAGTCTAAGAAGTCTCTTTATTTGGAATCAGTTCACGAAGGTGCTTTGCAAAAACTCACGGAACTCGAAGATTCTTCTCGCTACCAACGTAAAGAAGTTCATGAGGAAACAATTAGCCAGGCACCAGTATTTACTGTGCCAATGAAAGATCTTAGAACAGCTGAAAATCAAGCTGCTCATTTTGAAGCCAGACTGATCCCTGTGGGTGATTCACGACTTAAAGTCGAATGGTTTAGGAATGGAGTGCCAATCCAAGCATGTAAGAATTTCAATTTTTTGTAGTTTTGTTACAGCCAACAAAAATAATAAATTATTATTGGTTGAATATTTTCTATCGTTTACTTATTTTATTAGCTAACCGTATAACTACCATGCACGACTTCGGCTACGTGGCCCTCAACATGAAATACGTAAATCCAGAAGATTCTGGAACCTACACATGCCGCGCGATGAATGATTTGGGAGAAGCCGTTACTTCTGCCGTGTTAGACGTCAAATGTAAGTCAATTTGAAAATACCAATTTTTTTCACGTCCAAACTAAAAAATTTTACAGCTAAAGCCTCTCTCCAATTCGAAACCCAGCATGAAGGAGCCCTTCAAAAACTTCGTCAACTAGAAGATACAAGCCGCTACCATCGCCGAGAAGAGGAAGAAATCCAAGTAACTCAAGCCCCATTCTTCTCAGCCCAACTTAACGGCCCTACTGAACTTATTGAAGGTCAAAGTGCCCACTACGAATGCCGCATCGAGCCTTACCCAGATTCCAACCTGAAAGTCGAATGGTTCCATAATGGTCAACCATTGACTACTGGACATAGATTCAGAACAGCTTACGATTTTGGCTTTGCTAGCCTAGACGTTCTGACAGCTTATGCTGAAGATTCTGGAACTTACACTTGTAAGGCTACGAATCTTATCGGTCAAGCTCAGTCTTCTGTACAAACGTCAGTCAGATCTAGGGCTTCGATTATCCGCGATACTCAACATGAAGGTGCCCTGCAAAAGATTCAATATTTAGAAGATGATTCTAAATACAAAAAAGTTTCTCGTGAAGATGCTATTATTCTTGAAAAACCACAATTCGGAAGAGGACTTAAAACCATTGAAAACCTTCCAGAAGGACAAAGTGCTCATTTGGAAGCAACTCTCACTCCAGTTAACGATCCAACAATGAAAGTCGAATGGTATTGCAATGGAAGACCCATCCAGACTGGCCATAGATTCAAAACAACCTACGACTTCGGTTATGTTGCTTTGGATATTTTATATGCTTACGCAGAAGATTCTGGAACATACATGTGTAAGGCTAGAAATGCAGTTGGTGAGGCTGTCACCACGGCAGCAGTTTCTGTGGTAAAAAGTAAAAATCTTTATCTGGAAACCATGGATGAGCAAAGATTGAAAAAATTAAAGGAATTAGAAACCTATGAAAGACCCAGAAAAGAAGAAGTGGAACCATTGCCACAAAAACCGGTCTTCTTAACACCTCTAATCAGCTTAGATAATCTCCAAGAAAGCCAACATGCTCACTTAGAAACTAGAGTTGAACCTATCAACGATGCCAATCTTAAGATCGAATGGTTCGTTAATGGTGTCAAACTCAAAACTGGCCATAGGTTCAGAACTACACATGATTTTGGATACGTGGCTTTGGATATTTTATACGCATACCCCGAAGATACTGGTACTTATATGTGCAAGGCTAGCAATCTTGTTGGTGAAGCTGTCAATACTTGCACCCTTAAAGTTGGCGGTGGAAGAGGAATTTTGCTTGATACTCACCATCCTGAAGGCTTACAAAAGATAAGAGAATTAGAAGCCCAAGGACATCCTGCCAGATTAGAGGTTGAAGAACCTATTCCAACTGCTCCACGATTTATTACTAATCTTCGCGGTACCACAGAAATTTATGAAGGTCAAACAGCTCACTTCGAAGCCCAAGTTGAACCTATTCACGACTCTAGTTTGCGTATTGAATTCTTCCATAATGGCAAGCCTTTACCTCATGGAAACCGATTCCACATTACTTTCGATTTTGGATATATTGCTTTGGATATTAGTCACGCAGTACCAGAAGACGCAGGAGAATATTCAGTTAAAGCCATCAATAATCTTGGCCAATGCGTATCCTCAATAAGCCTTAGAGTGATTTCTAGGGAAAATATCATTACCGAATCTCAGAGGCCCGAAGGTCTTGATAAAATAAGACAATTAGAAGCTCATGAGCCTTACAGACGTCCAGAGGTTGAGGATCAAGTAACCAGACAAAGGCCAGTTTTCACTCAACCATTGCAAAACATCGATGTTATTCAAGAAGGTCAAAAGGCCCACTTTGAATGTAGACTTATTCCAGTTGGAGATCCAACTCTTAAGGTGGAATGGTTCAGGAATGAAAAACCTTTGGAAGACAGTTCACGTATAACCACACTTCACGATTTTGGATACGTGTCTTTGGATATTCAACATGTTAGAGGTGAAGATGCAGGCATTTACTTATGCAGAGCTTCAAACCCACTTGGCGAGGCCGTTACAACTGCTTCTATGAAAATAAGAACAGAAGCTAGTATTCAACTAGAATCTCAACACCCTGAAGCCCAGCGTAAGATCGCCCAATTGGAGCAACCACTAGCTTCAAGACCTGAAGAGCCTGAAAGGATATTCGAAAAGCCAATATTCACTCAGTTACTTACTGGGCCTACTGAGTTGTGGGAAGGTCAGCACGCCCACTTTGAGGCTCGTGTAGTACCTGTTGGAGATCCAACTCTTAGATTTGAATGGTACGTTAATGGTGTAGAACTGAAAATGGGATCCAGATTCAAGGTTACTCACGATTTTGGTTTTGTTACCTTGGATATTATGTCTACAGTGCCAAATGATTCAGGCATCTACATGTGCAAGGCCATTAATAGATCTGGGGAAGCTGTATCATCGATTTCAATGAAGGTTAAATCAAGATCGAATATTATTGGAGAACCTCTACAGCCTGAATCTTGGGAACAAATTCGCCTTAAAGAAGCTGAAATGAATAAAGTTCCAGATATGTTTGTGGATACCACACCGCAACAACCTCCAGTATTTACAACACATTTGAAGAGCTACGATAAATTAGTCGAAGGACAACATGTATTCTTAGAAGCTCAAGTAGAGCCTAGGGCCGATCCAAATTTGAGAATTGAATGGTTCAAAAACGGAGTTTCTTTGGCAACTGGTACAAGACTCAGAAGCACCTTTGATTTTGGATTAGTTACACTTTCCATTAACGGACTGAGAGACGATGATTCAGCTATTTATACTTGTAAAGCTACCAACAAGCTTGGTGAAGCTATATCTACTTGCTCATTGAGAATTGAAGATAGGCATTGGTTATTGGGTCAAAGCTTACATCCCGATGCCCTTTCTAAAATTGAAGAACTTGAAAGACCTCAAGAACCGCGTGCTGAGCTACCAGAACAAACTTACGAGCTTCCAATATTCATTTCTCATCTCAATAACGTAGAATGTTTCGAAGGTGACAATGTACACTTTGAATGCAATGTGGAACCTTCTAAAGATCCAACGATGAAGATTGAATGGTTCGTAAACAACAAACCTCTACCGACTGGAGCTAAATACAAATCAACATACGATTTTGGATTTATTGCCTTAGATATTACTCATTCTTATGAAGAAGATTCAGGAGTATACACTTGCAAAGCTACCAATAGCAAGGGATCAGCAACAACATCTGGAACATTACGTTGCACTGGCAAAAAGAGTATTTACTATGACACTCAACATCCTCAAGGCAAAGCCGGTTTGGAAGCTATCGATGAAGTCGATCAAGCTTCCGCAGCCAAATCTAAACATCCAGGATTTGGACCTGAAAAAGAATTCCCTAAACCTGTATGGACTGTACCATTGAATCCCGAATTTACCATACTTGAAGCTAAGCCGCTTCATTTGGAAGCATCTGTGGAACCAAAAGAAGATCCCAATCTTAAAATTGAATGGTTCTTCAATGGTAAATCTTTGGATCATGCTTCAAGATTTAAACTTACCAGTGATTTTGGATTCGTTACTCTCGATTTGACCGATGTGTACGAAAGAGATCAGGGAGTTTATACCGCTAAGGCTTCAAATAAGGCTGGAGAAGCTTTTACTTCAACAACAATTTATTGTACCACGAAAGCTAGTTTGATTGAGCGTACTCAACATCCTAAAGGGCAAGAAGGACTTGAAAAAATTCAAAATCTTGAAGATGCTCTCAACAGGCCTGAAATGCCTTTTGCTGAAGGCGAAGAAGGTCATGCTCCAGTATTTACTTCAGAATTTACCAATTTGTCCAATCTTGGCGAAGGTGAAATTGCTCATGTTGAAGCTGGCCTTACACCTATTGGCGACCAAACCATGATAGTCGAATGGTTCTACAATGGAAAAACTATTGAAGCTTCCCACAGATTTAGAACTGTCCATGCTTTCGGTATGGTAATGCTCGAAATACTGGGAGTTAAAATTTTAGATTCTGGCACCTACACATGCAAAGCCACGAATCAATGGGGAGTGGCAGAGCAAAGCGTAACTATTGAGTGTGTTGAAAGAATATCTGGACAAAAGCCCAAATTTACCACACACATAAAAGATGTAGTTGGGCTTAAAGATGGCCAATCAGCTCACTTTGAGTGCACTCTAGTACCAGTTAATGATCCTGATCTGAAAGTTGAATGGTACCACAATGGTAGACCGATTTTACATTCTACACGTATTAAATCAGTTTCAGATTTTGGATTTGTTGTTATGGATATTTCTTATATCCAAGATCAAGATTCTGGAGAATACGTTTGCAGAGCTCATAATAAATATGGCGAAGATTTTACTAGAGCTACAATCTCTGCTCACGGTAGAGGTGGTGTATTCACTGAGAGTCTACAACCCGATTCTCTGGCCAGAATAAGAGAACTTGAAAGCTTCCAAAACCAACAAGCCCAAGCTCCATTATCACCAGTCACTGAAGCACCCAAATTTATCACGCAGATCCAAGACATGACCAAGCTTGTCGAAGGGCAAAGTGCTCACTTTGAAGCCCGTCTCACGCCAGTTACAGACCCAGATTTGGTGGTTGAATGGTACTATAATGGAAAGAAATTACCGCATGGTCACAGATATCGTACCTTCCACGATTTTGGTATTGTCATTTTGGACATTTTGTATTGTTATGAAGAGAATTCTGGAGTTTACGAGTGTAGAGCTCATAATAAATATGGTGAAGATTCTACAAAGGCTACATTGAAGTGTATCTCTAAGGCTAATTTGATCTTGGACTCGCAACTACCGCGGGTAAGATTTTTTCGATATCTTTAAATTTGAATACGTTTTATTTGACCTGTTTTTCTTTTTTTCAGGGCATGGAGGGTGGACTAGAAAAAATTCAAAATCTAGAAGATTCTCTGGTCCGTACTAGAGATGAAAGAGAAGAGATAACAAAAGGACGCGCCCCTGTATTCACTGTGCCTTTGTCCAACATTGACAGTCTTCGTGAGGGTGAAAGTGCCCACTTCGAAGCAAGACTTATACCTACGGACGATCCCAAGCTCAAAGTCGAATGGTTCTGGAATGGAAAATCTTTAAGAACGGGTTCGAGGTTCCGTACTTTCTGTGACTTTGGTTTTGTTATTCTTGAAATATCTCCTGTTTATCCAGAAGATTCTGGAGAATACTCTTGCAGAGCTCATAATGAATATGGAGAAGCTGTTACAACTGCTTCCATGAAAGTATCCGGAAAACGAAGTATTATTTTAGAATCACAGCTTCCTAAAGGTATGGAAGGTACAATCGATAAAATTGCTGAGCTTGAAGGTTTGGGAATGGCTCCATCACAAGCAACACCTGAGGATGACACTGGCAAACCACCAGAATTTATCACAACGCCTTCAGATTTAGTTTTAGGTGAAAACTCTTTAGCTCACTTTGAATGTAGGCTAACGCCACTTAATGATCCTAGTATGAGAGTGGAATGGTTCCATAATGGCAAAGCTTTATGGGCTGGTTCTAGAATCAAAACTATAAATGATTTTGGCTTTGTTATTCTTGAAGTAGCTGGAATATACCAAAGAGATTCCGGTATGTACACTTGCAAAGCTACAAATAAACATGGAGAAGCTACAGTGAGTTGCACTTTACAAGTGAAAGGCAGACAAGGAATTATTCTTGAGCCTCAATTGCCTTCCAACTTCCGTTCTGGAACAGAGAGTATTCAACGATTGGAAGAAGAATTGTATAAAAGGGAAGAAATTCTTGCTGAAGAAGAGCAACCAAATCCACCAAGATTTATTGTTGAAATCAAAGATAATGTTGATGTGCCTGAAGGCAGTCCAATTCATTTTGACTGCAGAGTTGAACCCAAAAATGATTCTTCAATGAGGATTGAATGGTTCCATAATGGCAAACCATTCGCCACTGGATCACGTGTCCATCAAATCAACGATTTCGGATTTGTTTCCTTGGATATCGATTATACTTATACCAGAGATGCTGGCGAGTACATTTGCAAAGCTACTAATAAATGGGGATACGCTATCACTAAGGCTAGAGTCACTTCTAAATCAAAACGAAGCATTGATTTCGAGAGTCAGTTGCCTGCTGGCATGAGCGCCGATAAGTTAAAAGAACTAGAAAAGGGACCTGTTTCTGTAGCACCACAAGAAGACAAAACATTTGGGCCTCCCAAATTTGTTACTCACATCCAATCAGTAACTGTAGAAGAATCTGAATCTCTCCGCTTTGAGTGTAGAGTAGAACCAAAAGACGATCCTAAGTTGAGAGTGGAATGGTATAGAAATGGCAAACTTTTACCTGCAGGCCATCGTTATAGGACTGTCTATGATATGGGCTTTGTATCTTTGGATATTTTGAGTGTGTACTCTGAAGATTCTGGAGAATACGTTTGCAGGGCAGTTAACGATCATGGAGAAGATTTTACCAAGGCACATGTCAGCTGCAAAAAACTTCCAAACATTATTTTGCAAAATCAAGTACCAAAAGGCATGAAGAGATCTGAAACTTTGATGCAAATGGAAGCTGCCATTAAAAAGTACACTTCAGAAGTATATCTGACTGAAGATGACCTCTATGACGTAGACAAAAAACAGCCTCCTAGATTTGTTACACAAATTCAAAACCAAACTGAGCTTGTCGAAAGGCAAACTTCCAAATTTGAATGTCAATTGGCTCCCGTGGGTGATCCTAATATGAAGGTGGAATGGTTCTTGAATGGGAAACCTCTACCACACAGTAAGTAATTGAGTATTTTTTTTTTCTTACATATTTGATTACCGTTTTAATTTTTGCAGAAAACAGATTTACTCCAATCTACGACTTTGGTTACGTAGCCATGAACTTTGGTTGGGTTTACCCAGAGGATAGCGGCGAATATTTATGCAGGGCTACCAACTTGTACGGCATGGACGAAACTAGGGCAGTCATAAAAGTAGCTGGCAAACCTGGAATCATCTATGATTCTCAACTTCCCAAAGGCATGAAGAGTATCGAGAAGATTAGAGAGCTGGAGGCGGCTTGGCAAGTGTAAGATTTTATTTTTCATTGTACGTCGTGATGTTTATTATGTTTTTTAATTATTAGCGTTCCTGAGGAAGTCGCTGAAGAATCGAAACCTCGATCAGCTCCGATATTTGTGAGCAAACCTGAACCAGTGACGGTTGAAGAAGGCGAATGGGCAAGGTTCTGTTGCAGGGTAACTGGACATCCAAAACCCAGGGTAAGTTTTTTTAGTGCGTTTTATTTTAAGAATATTGTTGCCGTGTTACAATCTTTCACTCAAATGAAACGAGAATTTCTTGTAAAATTTTGTCACGAGCCACAACACACGGACTATTCTAACTAATAATTTTATAAATTGTAGGTAATGTGGTTAATAAATGGCCACACTGTGGTAAGCGGGTCACGATACAAACTGACATATGACGGTATGTACCATATGGATATTCCAAAAACTCGTCAGTACGATACTGGCAAAGTCGAAGTAATCGCCAGAAGTTCTATTGGCGAAGCCATAGCGGAAACGGAACTTAAAATCATACCCAGGCATGACGACTATAGAGGCGTGCTGAAGAACTCGCCAAGACGTAAGTGGATCCTGGAATTTGAACACTTTTATTTCACACTGAAAACATAGATGCTGATTCATTTATCATTTGCAGCATCTTAATTTTCTTATACATAACTGAAATAACTAAAACATACTTTACACAATGCACATTTTTGACAAAAGCAAGCAAGCACATAAAACTCGCTCTAATAATACTTTATCCTCAAAAAAATCCTTATTGTCCTTGTGACTGAATCACAAAATCCCGATTCCTTTGAGAAAAAAAATCCTGCTTCGAGGCAAAATCTGCGGATGTTGTTAAATTTATGCTTGCTGCAAAAAAAATGGAGTTTCCTACCAGGTATGCTATTTGATGTCGTATAAATTAGTGTTTTTGCATGCTTCAGTGCTTTAAGTGTTTAGTGTTTGTCCATTGAAAACTCGAAAAAGTCCTAGGCAAAGATTATAATTTTTAACAAGGTTTTCAGTGGTCAAGTATCGTGCTATTGTGTATTGTATTTGGCTTCTAAAGTTTAAATTTTAATGTTTATAATGAAAAAAATAGAATAAGCTTTACGGTTCTTTAGCTTGGTATGACCTAGAACTATCAGAATATCAAAAAGATCGTCACGAAACCGAATTAGAAAAAGTATTTGACGAACGTAATACTACGATGCGTGAATCTGGAATAAACGTTTCCGGAGCTCATATTCAACAGAAAGATTTCAAAGAACCTGAAACCGAATGGCAAAAGTCAATTAAAGAAAAGAAGGGAGAGACATATTATAATAAACTGCAAGAGCTAGAAAACTCACAAGTGAGCAAGGAAATCCGACTGAGAGAATCCTCTCATCAGTTCGCTATACCTGGTGAGAAGATTGTAAGCAGCTCTCTGGCTAAAGGCATGGCGCAGCAGTATCAAGAAAACTTGTAAGTATACATATTTATTTCTGAAATAATTCATTTTACCTATTCATTCATAATTACAGGGAACAAGTTCCTGAAAGGCCTCAACTTCAGCCAACACCTAGAGTACAAAAACCAGAAGAACAAAAAATCGTACACAAAGACCAAGTATCCCTAAGAAAAACTGAAAAATCCAAAGAAGAACTTCAAACAGAATACGAAATTGATTCCAAAAAAGGAGCTTATCCTCCAGGTCCTACCGAATCTGGAGTACATGGAAGGGAAGTTTACGTAACCAAACAAAAACAGACCCAGAAAGAGCGTCAAGGAGATTTGGAAATTACTCGCAATATTACTGCTACGGAAACTACTGACGTAGAGCACAAAGCTAAAACTCAAGAACGCGTTGTGCAAGGACAAGTCCTACCATCTAATCCTCCTGTATTCACCAAAAAAATCCAACCGTGCAGAGCCTTTGAAAACGATTCCGCTAGATTCGAAGTTGAATTTGATGGCGATCCACTTCCAAAAGTCACATGGTATAGAGAAGACTTCCCTATTACCAGCTCTCCAGACTTGAAAATCTACACCTTCAGCACTAAATCCATTTTAGTGTTGAGACAAGTATTCATGGAAGATTCTGGAGTATTCAGCGTAGTCGCTGAAAACCGTGGCGGTACTGCCAAATGCAGTGCAAACTTGGTAGTGCAAGAAAGACGTAGACAGGGAAGAAGTGGTGGTGTAATACCCCCAAGCTTCAACACAACAATCCAATCATCTTCAACAAAAGCTGGTCAGTTAGTGCGATTTGATGCTAGAATCAATGGCACTAAACCAATCGATGTTCATTGGTTGAAGAATGGCAAGAAAATTGTCTCCGACATACGATACAAAACTCTAGAAGAAGATGACTTGTATACTCTGTTGATTATCGAAACTGTTCCAGAAGATACCGCAAAATACGAGTGTGTAGCCATGAATCAATCAGGTGAAGCTCGTTGCGAAGCTGATTTAACAATCGTAAGTCCATCAGCACCGCAAAAGCCTACCAAACCAACTACCCCTGGAAGTGAAAAGCCTCCTACCATAGTGGAACCTTTGAAAGACCAAACCATTTCCGAAGGACAAGCGGTTGCTTTCAGATGCAAAATCACTGGAAAACCTCTTCCGACAGCCAAGTGGCTTAAAGGCGACAAAGTCATCAAACCGTCCAAATATTTCCAGATGGTCAAAGAAGGAGAATATTGCACTTTGAAGATATCGGAAGCGTTCCCTGAAGACGAAGGCGTTTATAAATGCGTAGCGGAAAATCCAGCAGGAAATGTAACTGCTCAAGCGAAACTGAGGGTACTTGCTCCGGAAAGTCAGGAAGTGGCTCCCAGTTTGACGGCGATGAAAGATGTCATTGTAGCAGAAGGTAGTCCGGCCCAGTTCAAAACTACAATCTCCGGGAAACCCAAACCTACTATTCAGTGGCTGAGAGAGGGCTTTCTTATACCGGAATCACCAGATTTTCAAGTAAGAACTCGTTATATTTATTTAGAAATAGCCAAGGCAAAGTGAAATTAATTTTATTCAACTTTTATACTTATTTAAACTGCTAGAACTTTTATACGCATAAAGAAATTTTTCGCCTATTATTGAAGTCAAATATCTCAGAAAGTATAATAGATATTTGATTGCAGTTTGAGGCATTTTGGAGCGTTTTGTTTGTTATTGAAGGTATATGGTATCGCGCTGATGAACAGAAACGTTATCTACAACATACAGGGTGGACAATGAAATGGTGCAAAGTTTACTAAATTTCAGGGCGTCGCCATTTATTTTCAAACATACTCCTGCTTTTTTTTCTGGGTTTTAGAAGAATCAGTAGTTCAATGGTTAAAAACAACTTGAAGGGTTTTTGAATAACTCTCGTAGTTTTGCAGAAATTACAGTTTAACTGAAAAACGACTTTCATCACCCTGATTCTTTGTCTTAGTTACTCGAAGCAATTTTCTTCATTATCGTTGGTTCAACGTTTTCGTCTTTTTTCGTGTTTTGAAAAGATTTTACACAGGGTGAAAAAAAAAGTAAGTTTTTAATATTAATTTGGGTGGTCCGTGAAGATAATTGCTTCCCAAGGCAACTAACTAGAGATAGTACTCGTCGTAACACGTAACATGTACAGCGATTTCTGGGGGCACAGTCCTCTTTGTCAATTAAAATGGCACCAACCTTTGTTTGCTTTATTGAATAACCATTCTGAGAGCAAAATATGATAATATTATGTTTCCTAGGTGGAAAAGTTATTCTGTTCTCGAGACGCCGAGATATTTGGTGAATTATTAGCACGTACCATGTGCTAATAATTCACCAAGGGAGGCTATTTATACAGGGGTGGTAAAAAGTACCGGAACGGTTGACTCTCTTTCACACATCCTCAAATTTCGTTATATGGTGGTTTCCGGACATACAAAATTGAATGATTCAATGATATCGGTGCTGCTACCAGATTTACCAGCTTTGCCTTATATGTATGACAGGATGAGGTAAATATTCTAATATCGGCCGGTTTTCGTACTAGGAAACGATCTGTCCAATTCTTTTTGCCTTGTCTTTGTAAACTCTCTTACTTGGTGCGTGATACCCTCCTATCAATTGTTCTACTTTCAGATGGTTCAAACTTTCCTCCTTCTTCAAGGCATTAATAAACTTCCATATAATAGGATGTGCCGCACCAAGCACAGAAGAAAAACTGTTATACCATCCTTCAACTGAGTTGTTCATCCGGGGTATATCTTCCTCTACTAATTTAAAATAATTCCATAGACTTATTGTAAATAAAGGCGGTCTTCGATGTCCTTTTCTGTCGCAACGTCCTATCCATGTGTCCTCAAAATAATTGAAAACAGGCAGTAGGACTTCCTCATGTTCTCTATAGAAAGCACTAACAAGCAGTTCTTCAAATGCAGCTACAACGTTATCACTTGGTACAAAAGATAGCGCTGCCAATTTCCTCAATTCCAAAGCGAAATCGAAATTTTGGGTATAGGTACCGCACTTGTAATCCTGAACTTTGGATGTGTCTCCAAATACACCGAGTAAAATGGAAGAAGCAACCACGTATAACCACATCTGGAAATTATTTCTGGATGGCATTTAGAGCCGATCTCTCAAAGTTTATTATAATAGTCCTTGGTCGCAGTCCTGGTTTGAATCGTTTCAATTCATGGAAAAGACATCTATATTGTTTCTTCAGTTTTACTTGGAAGTAGCGCATAAACGGTTGGAATGACATTACTGTATTGCACTCCATGAATGGTAGTTGGCATCTGGGTCTATGTCAATTCGCCGTAAAGACAATTCGTCGTAAAGTCAATTTGACATAGACGTCAATTCGTCGTAGAGTCAATTCGTCGTATACATCAATTCGTCGTAGCGTTAATTAGTCGTATTTCAGGTAAAATGTTAAAATGTATAAATTTGCACTTTTTCCATTTAATCAGACATTATCAAGTTTACCGATAATAACGAGGGATTACCATATTGTCGTATACGTCAATTCCTCGTAGCGTTGATTCGACGTATACGTCAATTCGTCGTTAAGTCAATTTGTCGTTTACGTCAAATTGTCGTAAAGTAACTTATACGACCATATAGGTAATTCGTCGTTATTATCGTTAAATTTGATAATGTCTAATTAAACAGTAAAAGTGCTAATTTATACATTTTAACATCGTACCTGAAATACGACGAATTAACAATACGACGAATTGACGTATACGACGAATTACCTATACAACGGATTGAAGTATACGACAAAATAATGTTACGACGAATTGACGTATACGACGAATTGACTTTACGACGAATTGGCGTATAAGACGAATTGACTTTACGGCGAATTGTCGTGTACGACAAATTGACTTTGCGACGAATTGACATATACGACGAATTGGCTTTACGCCGAATTGGTGTACGACGAACTGACGTACGACACATTGATTTACGACGAATTGACGGTGACCCGAATAATCTTGGGGTGCATGTGAATGTTCCATCGGCGTACCAATGATCGCAATTTTCCATCAATTCCAAGTTCCTTTGTGTTGCAAATAATAGTATTCTCTGTTCACCAGGACCGCTGTCAAATTGAAGGAAGGGTTCACCGACACTATTCTGGGTGAATTCGACAGGAATGCGAAGATGAGTCAAATTTGTAGGATTGGCAGGCGCAACTTCTTGTTTTTGTCGCACTCGCTGTACTGTTCTTTTCATGCAAGAGACGGAGGGTAATAAAGGCGCTGCAGCTTCTGGAACTTGTTGGGAAATAGTGGCTACTATTGTCTGACTTGTCATTCCAACTTATTTGGCCATCTGCTTTAGAGAATTAACAGCGGTCTTTAATTCTAGTGTTGCAGCATCAACAACGTGATTATGAGCTGTACTTTTTAAAACTTCACTTTGCACTATGTGTACTCTTCCGGGACATTTGCACTTGTCTTGTTGTAGTTTGCATTTTCATATGATCTTCTCACCAATGGCACGGTCTTGTTTATGTATATAGCCGTTATACGCTAACATGTCGTTGCCTTTCTGACTTTTGACAAACTGAAGCGCCATTTCAAAGTAAAACAGATATTAGAGAATAACTGAAGAGTAGGAGCCTAGGGCGGATATTATATATTTTAATACTTATTTAGTCATTTAAATGTAAAAAAGGTGAGTCCTAAGATTTCAGCTAATCAAATATGCAAATTATTGTTGTTGCAGAAAATATTATAATCTTATGTTAATGTAGGTAATAATGCCAAATACTATTATGAGGAAACACAACATAATTTTACATAGTTCAGGTTACTTCTAAGAATTCAGGTACCTACCTACTTATACATACAGGGTGTCCCAGGGAAAACAGTCCACCCCAATTTATTGGATTTCGGATGAAAATCTGGAAAAACGCTCGGACACGTCGATTTTTGATTTGAGGGGGAACTTTTTTTCAGTTATTTTCATCCCTGTAGTTTCAACCCCTTAGCTAGGGGGAGAACAACCATCCAAATTTGAATAGCGGATAGGGGTCGTGTCATATCTCTTTTTGAAGGTCTTATGGAGTTCTTTATGGCCCCAGAATTTCATCTCATTATTTCCATCCGTAACGAAATGACAGCTTGTCAAAATCTTGGAAATAGACTATTGTTTCAGTAGGAGTAAAAGCGATATATAGTCTGGCTAGCGAAACGGCGAACTGCAAAAGAATTTGCTACTTTGCCAAACTTGACGGAAATAATGATAAACATGTTGATGACATATTTTTTTTTGCTATATGGGCATGTGTAGTATTTCGAAATAGAAAAAAATCCGGCAACATTGCGAAATGATGGATGTGGAGAGGCGTGATTATTCAGAGGTATGATTCTATTGGTTAGAGTTTGAACGACAGCACGCAGTGGCGCGGTTATTGGCGAAACTAAAGAATTTTTTTCTAATAATTTTATTGGTTTATTTCCTTGGTGTTTTCGGTGCCACTGAACCGAAAGACATGGCTGTCATCAGGTGATGTCAGTTCTGTTCTGTGATGTCAGTTAAGGTGTCAGTGAATATTTTTAGGTCACGCCCCACTTTTCTTCCCCCTTTCGTCTCTACCAAGTTACCACTTGCCAGACTATACTTACCTCCCTTAATAAAAATACTTGAAATTGAGGTTTTTTATTATTATGAATAATGGGTGTATACGAGAATTGTGAATTGTAGGTATTTTTACTCGTATTTTTATTAAGGAAGGTAAGTACTGCTTTTACTCCTACTAAAACAATAGTCTATTTCCAAGATTTTGACAAGCTGTCATTTCGTTACGGATGAAAATAATAAGACGAGATTCTAAAGCCATGAAAAACTCGATGAGACCGTCAAAAAGAGATATGACACGACCCCTATCCCCTATTCAAATTTGTGGGGTTGTTCTCCCCCTAGCTAGGGAGTTGAAGCTACGGGAATGAAAAAAACTAAAAAAAAGTTCCCCCTCAAATCAAAAATCGACGTGTCCGAGCGTTTTTCCAGATTTTCATTCGAAATCCAATAAATCGGGGTGGACTGTTTTCCCTGGGACACCCTGTATGTATAGGTAGGTAGGTACCTGAATTCTTAGAAGTAACCTGAACCCCCTTCAAATCAAAAATCGACGTGTCCGAGCGTTTTTCCAGATTCTCATCCCAAATCCAATAAATCGGGGTGGACTGTTTTCCCTGGGACACCCTGTATAGATTCATAATGCAAATTATTATTTTTGCAAAAAATATTTTAATACTCATTTAGTTATTTTAATGTAAAAAAGGTGAGTCCTAAGAATTCAGGTACTCGAATATGCAAATTATAAATATTGCGTCCAAATAACTTGCAACCAAAAATGTCGTCCAATTAACGCGGGGTCCACTTGTCGTACTCGCCCTTTTGTTACGCGTCCAAATTTCCGCGTCCTTTTGTCGCACGTCCAAATTTCCACGTCCTTTTGTCGTATATCCAAATCGCAGTACATGTTACGTGCTACGACGCGTACTATAACTAGTTAGTAGTTAGTTACTCTGCGGAGCAATTATCTTTACGGACCACCCAAAAATTAGTATTGAAAACTTACTTTTTTTTCACCCTGTATAAAATCTTGAAACACGAAAAAAGACAAAAACGTTGAACTAACAATAATGAAGACTATTGTTTCGAGTAACTGAGACAAATAATCAGGGTGATGAAAGTCGTTTTTCAGTTAAACTGTGATTTCTGCAAAACTACGAAAGTTATTCAAGAACCCTTCAAGTTGTTTTTAACCATCAGGCGCGGATCCAGACCCAAATTGAGGGGGGGGGGGAGGCAAACAAAATATTGGAAGGTACAGGGTGTCTGGTTATAATTTGACACCCCACCTTTATAGGTAGATAATAGGTGTAAACACAAAAGTGGGGCAGTTTTAGCTAAATTATTGTCAGAAATTTGAAATTTTGCGTACTTTCAACTTTTTTCAAATAGACTGCCCTATATTTGATTCTCTATTCTTGAAGAGCACAATTTTCTGATTGCGAAAATATATAGTTTCTGTATATTTAGTTGAACCGTCTCCACCATATTTGGCTACAAAATTTTAAAAATCAGAGAAAACAAGTGCCTCAAATTTTACCTGAAGCTTTCATTAGAATGGTTCACAAAATCATCAGTAGGATAGTATTTTTCCAATTTTTAGAGCCAAATATGTTGAAGGCGGCTCAAACAAATATAGGCAAACTATATGTTAGAAGCAAATTTAGGGCATTTCATTTGAAAAAAGTTGAAAGTAGGCAAAATTTCCAATTTCTTACAATAAACATTTGTTTTTGACGATGGATTCTGAAAATTTAGTTAAAACTGCACAACTTTTGTATTCATACCTATCATCTACCTCTAAAGGTAAAGGCTGCAGGTGGGGTGTCAAATTATAACCAGACACCCTGTACATACAAATAGAATAGGCTAGAGGAACCCGGAAAAATTTGTCGATTTAATGTTGATTTTTAAAATTATTATTTTTTTTATCTAGGGGGGGCGCTCCCTGGATCCGCGCCTGTTTACCATTGAACTACTGATTCTTCTTAAACTCAGAAAAAAAGCAGGAGTATATTTGAAAGGAAATGGCGACGCCCTGAAAGTTGTTAAACTTTGCACTGTTTTATTTCCCACCCTGTATGTTGTAGATAACGTTTCTGTTTATCAGCACGATATCATATACCTTGAACACCAAACAATGCGCCTCAATATGCTTCAAACCGCAATCAAATATCTCTTATACCTTCTGAGATATTTGACTTCAAAAATAGACAAAAAATTTCTTCATGCGTATCGGAGTTCCAGCAGTTTTTATAGTTATTCGCTAATATTTGAGAAAGAAGAAATTTCTAGTAGTAGGCCTCTTAGCCATGTTTTTCTGTTTACAGCAAAGTAAGCTGCATTTCTGTCAGCTTTTTCTTGCTTTAAAAATTTTACTTGGGGCAAATTTTAGTTGATAGAGGGTTTCTGTCTTAAGAAGAGATTGTTGAATAGTTCTTCTGAAGGCAATCAAAAGTTCAAAATGATTTGAATTTGTTAATACCGCTTCTTGATTGATTGAAAAGAAAAACAAGAGCTAGTCATTATGAAAATTTGGACTATTACCTTCTCGCTCTTGATTGCATTCAGAAAAATTATCAACCAAGAGGCTCTTCGTGCAAATTTGAAGTAATTTGAACTCTTGATTTCCATCAGAAGAACCATCCAGTAAACCGAGAGCCGGTCATAATCAAAATATAATTGATACCGGCTCTTGATTTGTTGAGTAGTTTTTCTGAATCAAAATATTGGAACTGAGTTAGGACAGGTCTCGATAGAAAGGATTTTGGTTGAATTCAGAAAAAAAATCCTGATTGCATACAAAATTGAAAATTTGTTTGCTTTTTTCAGATGATCCAAGAAGGTAACAATGCCATCCTTCTGATTTCCACCACCTATGAAGAAGATTCTGGGGTATTCGCCTGTCGCGCCACCTCCTCTGCAGGCTCAGTAGAACAATCTGCCAAACTTATCGTCAAAAGTAAGAAATAATAATGCGTTTTAATTTTTTTTTCAATTATTTTATTCTGACGGAGGTGCTGTTTTTATTTTCCACCATTTACTAGAAATGGACCATGTAAATGTTATCAGTAATAATTATTAGTAGAACCGCTTCTCTTTATTAATAAATTAATTGAGCTTTCAATGTTCAAATCACTATGGACAGAAAAAGCAGCCCTTCTTAAATGAATCAAAGGTATTTTGGTGGTGGATTATAATGTTAAAAAACACTAAATTGTTATAAGGTTCCAAGTGATTTAGTAAATTTATTTTAAGGATTGAAGTAAAGCTTTTGGGCACTAAACACAAAATGCTAAAAGGGCTTTATTCTCCCCAATTTTTATTTAATTTGTAATTTCAATTATAGAACTGTATATTAATTATTGCATTAATTTGTTTAATAAATCGCTATTGTTTAGAAAATCATTTATATGCGTTTGACACAAGTATACCCCCCGACACAGTTCTAATATCAGAGAAGTGACTAAGCACGATGAGCAACTACACTCAAAAATACAAAACAACATTCTTGAGCAATTTTTTGGTTACCTGAGTCATATGATAAGTAATTGCTACTAAATATAAGTTTTTTTTTGGCCAAGGTTCACAAATGACCAATTAATTATTTTTTGGTTGACATTCAAAATTCTAATTCTACCTTGAATTCGTTTGTCATGTCACACTAATGACTAAGTACATGAAAATATAGGTTGAAGTTATTTGTTAAATTTCGCATCTGGGATTGGAGGTGTAGCTAAAAAAGTTTAGGTGTAATTAGAAAATATTCGCTTTCGTTGTTTGATATTTGAGATTTGTTCTACAATAAATTGTCTCGAATTATATTTGAGCTCTTTCCTCAAGCATAGTTATATGCAGCTCTTCATTGCTTGTATTTTTTCTATTGAACACACATTTAGTGCTCGATATGTTCAGTGTAATAGAAACCGAATATTAAATTTTTAGTCAAATAGAGAAATAAATGAGTGAACTTCAAATGAAGTGTACCTACAAAGAAGATGACTTTCCACTCCTGAATGATACCAGATCAATTTCTCATCTTTATAGCATTTTAAAAGCATTAAAAAAGTAAATTTAGAACCAATATATACAGAAAAAATTCGATTTTACTACTTTTAAATTAAAAATTGGTACCTAAAGCTTCTGTTTGAAACATTAATAAATGACGCAGAAGGTTGGTGTTATTAAATTATTTTCTTAGAAAAAACATTCTGGTTTATTGCCAGCTCAGTGAAAAATTTGATTGCACCTGTTCTCCCATGAATCCCATAGCCAAAAACAGGGTTACAAAAACATTTTCACCTCTAATCATTAGCATAGCAGATGCTTTTCTTAAATTACTCTTAGGCATACGAGATTGGCACTTGGCCAACAATTATTATTCGCTGGTAATTCTCGGACAAAACTCTAAATAACTTTTGTAGCCATGGTGCCGTGCGCAACATGGACCTAAACTATTTTAAACTTTTGAATAGATTGAGTTACTTACTTAAATTTGGTTCAGAGCCATTTCTGGATAGAGGAACGTGTGCAAACGATTTTAATTTTTTTTCAAATAAAACTCACATCCAGTAAAATGGAAATTATTGTTTTTATTTATAAATAATACATAAACTTAAGCTAGGAATGTTTTATTGATTTTCAAATGCGTGTCCCATCTAAACCGACTAGTTAAGCCCACTCGTTATAGTAGATATTTGGAGTAACTCCAAAAAAATAGGCATAATAAATTAATCACTTTAAAAGTATCTACTGGTAATATTAAAGAAGTCACTTTTTTACAACAAAAAAAATGTATGCCTATCCTAGGTCAGTTTTAGCGCTCTACACTAAAATAGGTCACTTGGAACACTTAAAAAAAAAATTCGGATCAAGGTTGGATCTAATCTGTTCAATAAAAGCCGCATAAAATTGTGTTCTTGACAAAACAAATATTTTATGCGGCTTGAAAACGAGCACTGAAAACACTGTCAAAACACTCACTCACTAGTCACTATTCACAACACAAATGAAAAATTAACGTTTCATGATCAGAGTACATACGCTGAATAAAACACAAAACACATTTTTACTTTACTCCACACTCTCTCCCTGGGAGGTGGGACCTGACGTCACGGGCATAAAGTCAACAACAAAATGTTGGAAACCTCTGCGTGTTTCAGTCACCTATAATATTGAGTCAGCGTGAGTTAAAAATAGACTTTTCAATACTTAAGTCTAGAAATAGGACTTTATCGGACCCCCTAGATTAGTCACAATTTGAATACCTACGTTTTTAATCGTTTTTAGTAGATTACTAATTGTGAGTCGACATTTATTTTTATTTTTCTGACCATGAGGCAAATTTTGGGTTTACATGTGTAGGAAGAATAATTTACATAACTGTAGGGGGGTATAGGGATGTGAAAGATTGGAATGTTCTGGTATCACAATCATGATCTGTCTGAGCCGGTTTTCTATATTATTTGAAATTCCAGTTAATTTCAGAAATTCTTGTCTTTTCAAAGAACATTTTTTTTTGGAGATTGTCTGCTAGTATCAGATTCTTCTAGATAATTGAGGAGTTCTTCAGCATCCGGCAGGGATCATTTTTTGATCTGAAAGCAAAAAAGTTATTTTAAGTAGTTTAATTATTTATAATTTTCTGCAAGTTTGCATACAGAATCTTCCCTAGCTTCAAATTTCTAGTTAAAAATCAGACATTGAGTCTAATTATTACTCTTAAATACCATTAAGTTTCAAAACTATTTCAATTTCTTTATAAATGACAAATTTTAGAACTAGACCGATATCGGAATAAAAAAACTAAAATGTTAATAGATTTCCTGCACCTAAAATAATACTTTCAAATATATACATAACGGTATAATAAGTGACAAGGTGCAAAATTATTAGTATCGTTATCACGTATTATAATAGAAACCACTGAATTTATTTGATTTTCAACCATTTGTGTCGATAGAAATGATTTTTTCCGTGGGGTTAGTGTAGTTTTGTGTCTGTAGGAAATGAAAAGTTAATTAAGGTAGTAATTTCTTTGGATTTTATTTCGGCATATTTTGTTCATGATTTTCTTATTTTTTGTGAAAGTAGAAACTCTGCCTTTTCTAGCATATCTTTATCTTAATCTCACCTTATTTTCGTTCAGTCGGCACACCAATAATTAATTATACTCTCCTGTGTTATATCAATAATTAGATATTATTCAGAAAAGTTTGTATCATAACTGTAGCTACTGTAAATAACCTGAGAATTCTAAAAGAGTTCGATACAAGAATACATACCTACTTATTTGAAATACAAAAAAAGCTAAAAATTTGCCATGAGGTACCTACTCTTGAAACAACTCACAACTCTAAGTACATAAATAGTTCATAATAATAATTTTAATTCACTTTACTTTTTATTATGCGCAGCCAAATATTTCAATGAATATTGCTCTATAAATTATAATCCATCCCAAAATCTATGATCTGTTTCTTCAAAAATATCATAAAACCAAATTCAGAACGATTTACATAGTTGAAAATAAACATAATTTCTTCAAGGCAATTCGAATAAAATAACATATTACTAATTTTTTGTAGAAACAGTGCCTTTTTACCTGTTGTGTGTTTTTTTTTTTACCCATATACATATAAATTATACTATTTTTATTAACTTAATGTGGTCAAGGTAAGTTTCGAATAGTAACCACACATAATAATTTTAGGGCGCCCTGGAACATTTCGCAAACCATCCACATTAGGCGCCCCATCTCAACAACAAACTCCAACGTTTATCGACAAACAACAAACACCCATTCAAGGAGGTGTCGGCAAAAGTACCACTCCATTTACACCCGGTTCTAAAACCGGTGAAACCAATGAGTTGCTTTTAGGCGACGAAACCCTTTGGTGGCGCAAGCAGCCTAAACAGGCTCAACCGTGGACAGAAGAACAAATTGTTTTGAAAAAATCCAATATAGAACGTAAGGAAGTTACCAAACAAAAATTAGAAGAAGTTCAGCTTAAACCCAGCAAACCACCAAGATCTCAGACAACTACAGCTACCGAAGACATCAGCTTATTAAAAGTTGATCAACAAAAACAAGAAACAATTACAAAAGAATGGAGAAAGTCTGGTCGTAATTATAATCTTCTCAAACAAACATCCGTAGAAGTAGACATAGATACAGTTTTAACCAAAGCTCAACAAGTCGTTAAAAGATTTTCAGTTCCCCAGCCACAACAAGCTAAAATAATCCCTTGGATTGAGGAAAAAATAACTCTTAAAACAGCACCCAAAGATCAAATAGCCAAATCTAAAGAAATTCCTAAGGAAAAACTTGAAGAAGTTATCCTGAAAACAGTTTCATTAGAAGCAATTCAAGCACTAAAATTAGCTAAGCTTGAACAGCCTAGACAACCAGGTGAGCCTATTCCTTGGACTGAAGAGGACATCGATTTGAGACCCACGCCCCAAGAAAAAAAAGAGATTCCAAAAGAAACTTTGGAAGAAGTTCATTTGAAACCGGTTCAACTTCCTGACCAGAAAAGTAAAACTCCTATAAGACTTGAAGGTGAACCAATACCCTGGACAGAAGAAGAAATTATTTTAAAGCATTCCTTGGTAGAGAAGAAAGATATTCCAAAAGAAACTATTGAGGAAGTTAACTTAAGACATGCTACTAAAGTACCCGAGGTCAGGGATATTGATAGAAAACCTGGAGAAGCTATTCCTTGGAATGAAGAAGATATTTCCTTAAAACCAACTGTAGTACAGAAGAAAGAAATCCCTAAGGAAAAACTTGAACAGGTGCCTCTCAAGCCTACTCCTGTTAAGGAAAGCATTGAGGATGTTACTAGAAAAGAAAAACTGTCTAAAGCCCAAATTCAGTTCACAGAGGATACAACTTTATTAGACCTTAAAGAACACGTCAGTGAATCTCTGGAATCTCAAACACAAATCAAAGCTTGGGAGAGAGGCAAAAAAGAGCAAGCAGTTCTATCTCATGTAGAAGACCAAGAAATATTAAATATTCAAGAAAAAACTACTGAGACAGTGAAACGACAAGAAGAAACTAGGCAATGGCCTCGAGGAGTAAAGCCACAAGAGCAAGAAGCAGAAAAACCTGTTGCGTGGAATGAGCAACCAATAACGTTGAAGAAGACTACAATTGAAAGAAAGCAAGTAATCAAAGAGCAACTTGAGCAAGTGGAGCTAAAACCAAAACCTACAGAAACAAAAAAAATTATTGAAGATAAGACTCTGTTGACACTCGAAGAGAGAGAATCAAGCAAAACACGGATACAACAACAGAAAACTCAAGAACAGCCTCTGAATATTGCCTCTATTCAACAAACAGAAGATCAAACTATATTGACACTTAAAGAAAAAGTGGACACAAGGAAGGAGGAAACATTAGAAGCAAAAAGTTGGAAAAGAGGGCCGAAGCCTGAAGAAAGGCCAGATGAAACTATTCCAAAGCAACACGTTGAAGATAAAACTCTGCTGGTCCTAAAAGAAAAAGAAAAAACTTCAGAAACAAAGGCATGGAAGCGTGGACCAAAACCCCAAGAAAAACCAGCTGAAGTCGCTCCACTGCAACATGTCGAAGATAAAACTATTTTGGACTTGAAAGAGAAAGAGGATGTCAGAAAGGAAGAAAAACTTGAACCAAAATCATGGAGAAGAGGGCCGAAGCAACAAGAAAAGCCAGACGAAGTTGTGCCTTTGCAACACGTCGAAGACACAACCATTTTGGACTTGAAAGAGAAAGAAGATGTCAGAAAGGAAGAAAAACATGAATCAAAATCATGGAAAAGAGGGCCGAAGCAACAAGAAAAGCCAGAACAAAAAGTCCCGCTGCAACACGTCGAAGACACAACTATTTTGGACCTAAAAGAAAAAGAAGATGTCAGAAAAGAAGAAAAACTTGAACCAAAACCATGGCGAAGAGGACAAAAACCCCAAGAAGAAAAGCCACAAGAACCACTCGAAGCCAAATCCTGGAAACGTGGTCCTAAAGTTATAACTGAACTACCCGAAATAATTCATGAAATCACTAGAGTTTCCGAAGGCACCGAAACAAAATATATTACCAAGAAACGTGTTTTGAAAAAACACGAAGCAGGTGTTGAGGAAACTACTTACATTGTCACTTTAGAAGAAGAAGGCAAGAAGCCGCAATCTACAGTAACCGTTGAGGAAAAACCAATATTTGATGAAACTCAACCCATTTATATGGTACAAGAATGGCCCGTTAAATTCTCAGAATCAACAGTGATCGATCAAGGAGTTCCTAGAAGGAAATCTGTGATCATACGCACTATACAAACCACCCAAGGAGACAAAAGAGAAGTTACACAAATTGTTACAGAAAAAATTGAAGATAAGCCAGCTACAGTCAAAGTACAAGAAATGCCTATTGCCAAAGAACAAGAATTACCCGAAGCTGAATTTGTAGTCCATGAATTGCCAGTGGAAGTTTTTGAAAGTGTTGTTACTGAAGCAGGAAAACCCACATGTAAGCAAATTGTTAAAAAGCGCACCATCCAGAAGCATACTGATGGTAAAATTGAAACTACTCAGATTATAAGTGAGGTCAGACCTGGAGAAGCTCCGAAGTATTCAGTGGTCGTTGAAGAACAACCAACTGATGAGCAACCAATATTTTCTGTTGAAGAGTTACCAATTAAAATGTTCGAAACTACGGGAGTTGAGGAAGGAGTACCTGTGAAAAAGAAAACTCAGAAGAGGACTATTGAAAAGAAAACTACTGATAAGAAACAAATTACTGAAATAACTACAGTAAAACAAGACGGCAAACCTACTGAAACAACTGTTGAAGTGAAGGAAGAAGAACTTCCTAAGAAAACAAAATACATCGAGAAAAAAGAAGAAAACGTTATTCCATGGACTGAGCAAGTGAAATTAAAACCCTCAAAGCCTAAAAAGCCGACACAAACGAGAGAAGAATTGGAAGAAGTTCATTTAAAACCTATTAAAAAATCCATCATAGAAGAATTACCAGAAAAAATTGAAGTTTCTACAATTGTAGATAAACATGGAAAAGCTGAAAAAACAGTTACTAAAACGAGAGTCATCAAAAAACGCAAAGGAAGTAGAGAAGAAACAACACAAATTGTTACAGTTGAAAAACCAGGACAAGCACCAGAATCTACAATTAGTACGGCAGAAAAAATTGTTCCTGAACAGCAACCGATATATGTAGTCGAAGAACTGCCAGAAGAAGTTTTTGAAAGTACTGTCATAGTTGAAGGAACTCCTAGAAAAAGAGTTGAAAGGAAACGCGTCATAAAAACAACTAAGGATAATAAAAAAGAAGTTACCAAAATTATTACACAAGAAGTGGAAGGTAAGAAGCCTGAAACATTCGTTACAACTACAGAAGTCAAGGATACTGAGGAAATTACTCCTGAATTTATTGTACAAGAACTTCCAGTGGAAGTTCACGAGACAACAATTATCGAAAAAGGACTTCCGAAGAAACTTACAGAAAAGAAACGTACAATAAAGCAACGTAGAGACTCAAGAATTCTTACAACTGAAATAATTACCAGAGAAGAAACTGGTAAAGCGCCACAAACTACTGTAATTAGTTCCGAAGAAGCTGTGGATGAAATTGTCAAAGAGCAACCAGTATTTATTGAAGAAGCCCCCGAAGATGTTCAGGAAGTAACTACTGTAGATGAGGGAGTTATCAGGAAACAGATCGTTAGAAAACGAGTAATTAAGAAGACTAAAGGCGATAAAGACGAAACAACTGAAATTTTAGTTATTGAAGAAGAAGGTAAGAAGCCTGAAACTAGTATAACAGTTACTGAAGAAACTAAAAAACCAATTGAACAACCGATAAAGCAAATTCCTTGGACTGAACAAGTGCAACTGAAAAGAGCTCCAAAGCAACTTAAGACTGAGCCTGAAAAACCTGAACAAATTCAACTTAAACCTATCAAAAAAGATAAACAACCAGTAGTAGGAAAATCTTTGGAAATAGAAGAGCTTCCTGAAGAAATTCGTCGTTCAAGTATTATTGAAGATGGTAAAACCAAGACACAGGTAACTAGAAAGAGGGTGATCAAAAAAAGAAAAGGCGACAAGGAAGAAACCACAGAAATCTTTACTGTAGAAGAAGAAGGGAAGTTGCCCCAAACTTCTGTCGTTATTGAGGAAGAGAAAATACCCGATAAAATAGAAGAAATGCCATTCTATACCGTAAAAGAACTTCCAGAAAAGCACTTCGAATCTTCAATTACAGATGAAGGAGGTAAAAAGAAGGTAACTCAAACAAAGAGAGTTATTAAAGCTAAAAAGGCAGGAAATAAAGAAGAAGTAACTGAAATTGTAACCACTGAAGTTGAAGGTAAAATGCCTGAAACGTCAATAACTGTCCGAGAAATGCCAAGAAGCACAGATAGTGATGTAGAAGAACCATCGTTCATTGTAGAAGAACTTCCAGTGGAGATACAAGAAACTACTATAATTGACAGAGGAGTGGCAAAGAAAAGGGTCGAAAAGAAAAGGACTATTCGTAGAGAAAAAGTTGGAAAACAAGAAGTCACTCAAATTGTTACTGTAAAAGAAGACGGTAAACCTAGTGAAACAACTGTATTAGTTCATGAAGAAGCCCTACCCGTAGAAGAAAAACCCATAACAGAAGAATATCCAGAAGAAGTCCAAGATGTTGAAGTATTTGACAAAGGAGTCGTTAAAAAACAGACTTTAAGAAAACGCACTATAAGAAAACGTAAGGGCAGCAAAGACGAAACAACTGAAATAGTTACTTTAGAAGAAGTGGGTAAAAAACCTGAAATTTCGGTTACAGTAACTGAACAAGACCATCCTTCGACTGAACAAGTGCAACTCAAGCGCACTCCAAAACAAGTTAAAAAAGTTACTGAAGAAGCTCTAGAAACTATTGAACTTAAGCCTGTTAAAAAGGATAAACCCAATATTGAAGAATTACCTGAACAAGTTCGAGAAGTTATTATTACTGATAAAGGAAAAACTAAAAAGCAAATTACTAAAAAACGAACTCTTAAGAAACAGGTAGGAGATAAAGAAGAAACTACATATATAGTCACAGTTGAAGAAGAAGGTAAAGCTCCACAAATAACTGTAGAAGTAGAGCAGAAAGAAGTTCCTGAGGCAGTACTTGAACAACCTATTTATGTCGTAGAAGAGTTACCAGAGCAAATATTCGAATCTGAGATTATAGACGCAGGAAAACGCAAAAAGAAAATACAGAAAAAACGCGTTATAAAATCAACAAAAGGTGACAAACAGGAAATAACAACATTAACAACCACAGAAATTGAAGGTGAAGAACCTACTACAACGGCCACAAGTGTAGAAAAATTAGTTCAAGAGACTACCATTCAACCGGAATATATTGTTGAAGAATTGCCCTTTGAAACCCAAGAAGTAACTGTCATTGATCAAGGTGTTCCGAAAAAGAGAATTCTAAAGAAACGAACTTTGAAAAAGACAAAAGATGGCAAAGAAAAAATCACAGAGATTGTTAGTATTGAAGAGGAAGGTAGAAAACCAGAAGTCACTGTCAATGTTCTAGAACAAGTTGTTGAAGAGATTCCTGAGGAAGCATCTCTGGAAGAATTACCTGAAGAAGTTCATGAGGCTACAATTGTTGAAAAAGGAATAAGAACTAAGCAAGTAACTAAGAAACGTACTATCAAAAAGCATAAAGATGGTAAAAATGAAATTATTGAAATTGTTACTGTTGAAGAAGAAGGAAAGAAGCCTGACACTGCTGTAATAGTAACTGAAGAAGAAATAAAGCCCAAGAAAAAGGTTATTACTGAAAAAGTGGTCGAAATTCCTTGGACTGAGCAAGTTCAGTTAAAGAGAACTCCTAAAAAGAAGTTACCTGACAAGAAGGAAGTTGAAAAGGTTGTACTTAAACCAGTGAAGAAAGAAGAAACTATTCAGGAATTGCCTGAACAAATCCAAGAGACTGTGGTTATTAAAAACGGAATAGCTCAAAAGCAAATAACGAAAAAGAGAGTTATTAAAAAGAGACGGGGCAGTAAAGAAGAAACAACAAAAATTTTGACAGTTCAAGAAGAAGGCAAAGTTCCTGAGACTACCATTGAGGTAGAAGAAAGAGAAGTTGCTGAAGACCAGCCAATATTCATCGTTGACGAACTGCCTGAGCAGGTATACGAAACTACTGTTGTAGAGCGTGGTCAGAAGAAAAAGAAACTTCAAAAGAAACGAGTCATTCAAACCAGAAAAGGAGATAAACTTGAAATTACTGAGATTGTAACTACCGAACAAGAAGGTAAACAACCAGAAACCACAGTGACAACCGAAGAAGTTGAAGCACCAAAAGGAAGTATTCCAGAAACTACTTACGAGTTGGAAGAGCTACCAGTTCAAATTCTAGAAACTGTAGTAGTGAAAGATGGGATTCTTAGGAAAAAAGTCCAAAAGAAGAGAACATTAAAGAAAAAGAAAGACGGAAAAGAACAAATTACTGAAATTTTAGTTACTGAAGAGGAAGGTAAAAAACCTGAAACTTCAGTTATTGTTAAGGAAAGAGAAATCCCATTTGAAGAGGAAGATATCCAACCTACAGTCATCATTGGAGCTTCTGAGGTGCAAGACACTACAGTAGTGGATGAAGGTGTCACTAAAAAGAAAAAAGTAACTAAACGGGTCATAAGGAAACGCAAAGGTAGTAAAGATGAAACCACTGAAATTCTAACAGTCGAAGAAGAAGGCAAAAAACCTGAAACTTCGGTAGTTGTAACAGAAGCAACTGCTCCAGAAGAAAAGCCCAAGAAAAAGAAGATTATACCCGAGAAAAAAGAGGAAATTTCTTGGACTGAACAGGTACAATTGAAGAAAATTCCCAAGAAACCAAAACTGGAGAAGGAAGATGTTGAAAAAGTTGACCTTAAGCATGTTATTCAAGAGTTACCTGAAGAGATTCAAGAAACTACTGTTGTTGACAAAGGAGTGTCTCGAAAGAAAATTATTAAAAAGAGAGTTATTAAAAAGAGACGTGGCAGTAAAGAAGAAACTACCCAAATTATGACGGTTGAAGAAGAGGGCAAAGCTCCTCAAACTACTGTAGTTGTGGATGAAAAAGAAATAACAGAAGAACAACCAATATATACTGTAGAAGAAATTCCTGAGCAAGTTTTTGCTACTACTGTTGTAGAAAAAGGGGAAAAGAAGAAAAAAGTACAAAAGAAACGCGTTATTAAAACAACCAGAGGAGATAAACAAGAAATAACTGAAATTATCACTACTGAAACAGAAGGAGAACAACCGCAGACAACTGTAACAGTTGAAGAGCTTGAAGCGCCAAGGAAAGATAAGCCTGAAGAAATGTTTTATGAAGTTGAAGAAATGCCAGTTCAAATAAAAGAGACAGTTGTAGTTAAAGATGGAATTGCTAGAAAGAAGGTTCAAACAAAACGGACAATTAAGAAAAAGAAAGACGGAAAAGAACAAATTACTGAAATCGTAGTCGTTGATGAAGAAGGAAAGAAACCAGAGACCTCAGTTGTTGTACATGAGGAAGAAATTCCTCTTGAAGATGAAGAAATAGCTCCCACTGTTGTGAGTGAGCTTCCAGAAGATGTTACAGAAACTACAATAATCGACAAGGGAGTAACCAAAAAGAAAGTAATTAAAAAACGAGTAATTAAGAAACGAAAAGGCAGTAAAGATGAAACAACTGAAATTGTTACTGTTGAGGAAGAAGGCAAAAAACCTGAAACTTCGGTGGTTGTTACTGAGGCAATCGTACCAGAGGATAAGCCTGGCAGAAAGAAAACTATCCACGAAAAGAAAGAGGAAATACCTTGGACTGAACAAGTTCAGCTCAAAAGAACTCTCAAAAAACAGAAACCAGAAATATTGGAACGTGAAAAGGTAGAACTTAAGCCAGTAGTTAAGGAACAAATAATTCAGGAACTACCAGAAGAAATTCAAGAAACTGTTACTGTTGACAAAGGGGTGACCCATAAGAAAGTTACCAAAAAGAGAGTTATTAAAAAAAGACGTGGTAGTAAGGAAGAAACTACAAACATTTTCACAGTTGAAGAAGAAGGAAAGGCCCCTCAAACAACTGTAGTTGTTGAAGAACAAGACATATCACAGGAACAACCTATATTCACCGTAGAAGAACTTCCTGAACAAGTTTTTGAATCTACTTTTATAGAAAAAGGTCAAAAGAAGAAGCAAGTACAGAAAAAACGCGTCATTAAAACAAGAAAAGGAGATAAACAAGAAATTACTGAAATTGTCACTATTGAACAGGAGGGTAAAAAACCAGAAACCACAGTAACTATTGAAGAAATTGATACACCGAAAGATTATATCCCAGAGGAAGTTACTTATGAAATAGAAGAAATGCCGATTCAAGTGCAGGAAACTGTAGTCATAGAAGATGGCAAAGCCAAGAGGCGTGTTCAGAAAAAGAGAACAATCAAAAAGAAAAAGGACGGGAAGGAACAAATAACTGAAATTTTAGTTACTGAAGAAGAAGGTCAAAAGCCAGAAACTTCAGTTGTTATTCATGAAGAAGTAATGCCTTTGGGAGAAGAAGAAATAACTCCCACAGTTGTAAGTGAACTACCTGAAGAAGTGCAGGAAACTACAGTTGTAGATAAGGGTTTAGTTAAAAAGAAAGTGGTTAAGAAGCGTGTCATCAAAAAGAGAAAAGGAAGCAAAGATGAAACTACTGAAATTGTAACTGTTGAAGAGGAAGGCAAAAAACCTGAAACTTCTGTAGTTGTAACTGAAAAAATTGTGGAAGAAGAAAAGACTATCCAGAAAAAGAAACCGGAGGTAGAGGAAATAATTCAGGAGCTACCGGAAGAAATTCAAGAGACTGTGACAGTTGATAAAGGTGTAACCAAGAAAAAAGTGATTAAAAAACGGGTAATTAAAAAAAGACGTGGTAGTAAAGAAGAAACTACTCAAATTTTCACAGTTCAAGAAGAAGGAAAAGCTCCCGAAACAACCGTGGTCGTAGACGAAAAAGAAGTGCTTGAAATACAACCAATTTACACGGTAGAAGAACTTCCTGAGCAAGTTTTCGAAACTACTGTTGTAGAACAGGGACAAAAGAAAAAGAGAGTACAGAAAAGACGAGTTATTAAGACACGGAAAGGTGATAAACAAGAAATAACTGAAATTGTGACTACTGAAGAAGAGGGTAAAGCACCGGAAACTACTGTTTTTACCGAAGAAATTGAAGCTCCAAAAGAAGACATTCCAGAACAAATTGGGTATGAAGTTGAAGAACTTCCTCTTCAAATTCAACAGAGTGTTGTAATTGAAGGTGGAATATCTAGGAAAAAAATTCAGAAGATGAGAACTATCAAGAAAAAGAAAGATGGAAAAGAAAAAATAACTCAAATTTTGGTTACTGAAGAAGAAGGTAAACAGCCCCAAACATCAGTGATTGTTCATGAAGAAGAAGCTCCAATTGAAGAAGAAGAGACTGCTCCTGTAGTGATGAGTGAGCTTCCAGAGGATATAAAAGAAACAACAGTTGTGGATAAGGGAGTTATTAAGAAAAAAGTTGTTAAAAGGCGTGTCATTAAAAAGAGAAAAGGAAGCAAAGATGAAACAACGGAAATTCTAACAGTTGAAGAGGAAGGCAAGGCACCCGAAACTTCTGTAGTTGTAACTGAGAAACTCGTGCCAGAAGAAAAACCAACCAAAAGAAAGAAGGTTATTCCTGAAAAGAAAGTGGAAATACCTTGGACGGAGCAGGTTCAGTTGAAGAGGACTCCTAAAAAACAGAAACCAGAAATCGAAGAAGTAGAACCAGTAGCCCTTAAACCAATTTCCAAAGATGAAATTATTCAGGAACTACCTGAGGAAATTCAGGAAACTGTAGTGTTTGACAAGGGTGGAGCGCACAAGAAAGTAACTAAAAAGAGGGTTATTAAAAAAAGGCGTGGCAGTAAGGAGCAAACTACAGAGATTTTAACGGTACAGGAAGAAGGCAAAGCTCCGCAAACTACTGTTGTCGTGGAAGAAGAAGAAATTCCAGAGGAACACCCAATATTTACCGTGGAGGAACTTCCTGAGCAAGTATTTGAAACGACTGTTTTAGAAAAAGGACAAAAGAAAAAGAAGGTGCAGAGAAAACGTGTGATTAAAACAACAAAAGGCGACAAACAAGAGATAACGGAAATTATCACTACCGAAAAAGAGGGAGAAATGCCAAAAACAACTGTAACTGTTGAGGAAATTCAGGCGCCAAAGGAAGACATGTTAAAAGAAGTAACCTTCAAAGTCGAAGAATTGCCTGTTCATATACAAGAGAGCATCGTAGTGGAGCATGGAGTAGCTAAAAAGCGCGTGCAAAAGAAGAGAACAATCAAACAGAAGAAGGACGGCAAAGAGCAAATAACTGAAATTTTTGTCACAGAAGAAGAGGGCAAGAGCCCGGAATCTTCAGTTGTAGTTTATGAGAAAGAAACTCCCCGTGAAGAAGAAGAATCCACTCTTCCTGTGTTGACAGAACTTCCAGAAGATATTCAAGAAACAACAGTAGTGGATAAGGGCGTTACCAAAAAGAAAATAATTAAAAAGCGGGTGATTAAAAAGAGAAAAGGAAGCAAAGATGAAATAACCGAAATAGTAACTGTGGAAGAAGAAGGCAAGAAGCCTGAAACATCAATCACGGTTACCGAAGAAGAACAAAAACCAGAAAAAGTTCTTCCTTGGACTGAGCAAGTGAAGCTAAAATCAACCAAAAAAGTCAAGAAACAAATTACCAAAGATAAAACTGAAGAAGTTCAACTACAGCCAGTTAAACCTAGTACAGAGCAACCTGAAGAAAGCGTAGTTCAAATTGAAGAACTACCATTAGAAATTCACGAAGCTACTATGATTGAAGATGGAATAATCAAGAAAACCAAGACTAAGAAACGGGTAATTAAAAAACGTAGAGGAAGTAGGGAAGAAACCACAGAAATCGTTACTGTAGAAAAAGAGGGCATGGCTCCTCAAACAACTGTTGTTGTAGAAGAGCAAAATGTTCCAATGATTACTCCTATTTACACTGTAGAAGAATTACCAGAACAAGTATATGAAACAACAATAATAGAAAAAGGAAAACCTAAGAAAAAACTAGTTAAAAAACGTACAATTAAAACTAGAACAGGTGATAAACAAGAAGTTTCAGAAATTGTAACAACACAAAAAGGTACAGACGAACCTCAAACTGAAATAATGACATATGAAGAACCAGCTTCTCTCGAACAACCAGAATTTGTTGTTGAAGAGTTGCCATTGCAAATACAGGAAACTATAGTGGTAGAAGGAGGGGTTTCGAAGAGAAAGATTACAAAGAAACGAACCATTAAAAAGAAAAAAGACGATGGAAGGGAATTGATAACAGAAATAGTAACTGTAGATGAAGAAGGTAGAAAACCGGAAACAACAGTTGTTGTTCATGAAGAGGACACCAGAGAAGAAGATACTGAAAAACCTATAATTGAGGAGTTACCAGAGGAAATAGTTGAATCCACTGTAGAAGAACAAGGAATTATCAAAAAGAAAACACGAACGAAGAGGATTATCAAGAAAAGGCAAGGCAGTAAAGATGAAACTACAGAAATTATTGTAGTTGAAGAAGAAGGCAAAAAACCTCAAACAAGCGTTGTAGTTACTGAGGAAGTCGTAACCAAAAAGAAGAAACCCAAAAAGACTAAGAAACCAGAAGAAACTTTAATAACTCCAGAAGGGTATCTTTTCGTTCCTCTTATAGAAGAACAAAAGAAAGTCGTACCAAAAGATGTTATGGATCTACTTGAAATGGAACTAATAAAAATGCGCTTGAAGAAAGAACTTCCTGAACACGTTGTACCAGACGACGTTCCTAAATTTGTAATGAAAGAGTTACCTGAGGAAATTCATGAAACAACTACTATTGAAGATGGTATACCCAAAAGTGTGGTATCAAAGAAAAGGGTAATCAAAAAGCGTAGGGGTAGTAAAGAGGAAACTACTAATATAGTCACAATTAAAGAACAAGGCAAGGCCCCACAAACAACTGTCACTGTTCAAGAAGAAAATTTTGTTGAAAAACAACCTATTTATACAGTGGAAGAGCTTCCAGAGCAAGTATTTGAGACTACTGTTTTAGAAGACGGCATAAGGAAAAAGAGAGTACAAAAGAAACGCGTAATTAAGACCAGGAAAGGAGATAAACAGGAAATCACTCAGATTGTTACGACAGAAGAAGAAGGAAAAGCACCTGTTACTGCTATAGAAGTGCATGAAATAGAAGCTCCCAAAGATGAAAAAATTCAGCCTGAATATACTGTAGAAGAACTACCAGTTGAAATTCAGGAAACTGTCATTGTAGAAGATGGAGTTCCTAGGAAAAAAGTACAAAAAAAACGTACCATCAAAAAGAAAAAGGGCGATAAAGAAGAAACCACCCAAATTATTACAGTAGATGAAGAAGGTAAATTACCTGAAGTATTTATTACTGTAGAAGATACACCACTTGTTGCGGATGAAGTGGAAACGGTAGATGAATTGCCATTGGACGTACAAGAAGTTATTGTTATGGAAGATCAAAAACCAAAGAAAAAGATAGTTAAAAAACGGGTAATTCAAAAGAGGCGTGGCAGTAAATCAGAACAAACTGAAATTGTAACTGTTGAAGAAGAAGGTAAAAAACCTCAAACAAGCGTTGTAGTTACTGAAGAAGTCATGACCAAGAAGAAGAAAATCAAAAAGCCAAAGATACCAGAAGAAACATTGATAACTCCAGAAGGATATCTTTTCGTTCCTCTGATAGAAGAACAAAAGGAGGTCGAACCAGAAGAAATCATGGATCTACTTGAAATGGAACTGATAAAAATGCGCTTGAAGAAAGAGCTCCCTGAACACGTTGTACCAGAAGAAGTTCCTAAATTTGTAATGAAAGAGTTACCTGAGGAAATTTATGAAACCACTACTATTGAAGATGGTATACCCAAAACTGTAGTGTCAAAGAAAAGGGTAATCAAAAAGCGTAGGGGTAGTAAAGAGGAAACTACCCATATAGTCACAATTGAAGAAGAAGGCAAGGCCCCACAAACAACTGTCACAGTTCAAGAAGAAGATTTTGTTGAAAAACAACCTATTTATACTGTGGAGGAGCTTCCAGAGCAAGTTTTTGAGACTACTGTTTTAGTTGACGGCATAAGGAAGAAGAAAGTACAAAAGAAACGCGTAATTAAAACTAGGAAAGGAGATAAACAGGAAATCACTCAGATAGTCACTACAGAAGAAGAAGGCAAAGTACCTGTCACTTCTATAGAACTGCAAGAAATTGAAGCACCTGAAGACGAAAAAATTCAGCCTGAATATACAGTGGAAGAGTTACCTGTTGAAATTCAAGAAACTGTTATCGTAGAAGATGGAGTTCAAAGGAAAAAAGTACAAAAGAAACGTACCATCAAAAAGAAAAAGGGCGATAGAGAAGAAACCACCCAAATTATTACAGTAGATGAAGAAGGTAAATTGCCTGAAGTATTTATTACTGTGGAAGATACACCACTTGTTGCGGATGAAGTGGAAACGGTAGATGAATTGCCATTGGACGTACAAGAAGTTATTGTTATGGAAGACAAAAAACCAAAGAAAAAGATCATTAAAAAGCGAATTATCCAAAAGAGACGTGGTAGTAAATCAGAGCAAACTGAAATTGTAACAGTTGAAGAAGAAGGTAAAAAACCTGAAACTACTGTAACTGTTGAGGATATAACTGAAACGTCTAAAAAGAGAAAGGTCAAACCTAAGAAGGTTGAAGAACTTCCATGGACAGAACAAGTAAAGTTAAAACCTACGAAAAAACCACTAAAAGATATCGAGAAATCCAAATTAGAAGAAGTTGAACTCAAACCATTCGAAGTTCCAAAACAAGAAGAGCCCATCTATAAAGTAGAGGAACTTCCTATAGAAATTAAAGAAACTACAGTTATTGATGAAAAGGGTGTCGCAAAGACAAAGGTAGTTAAGAAGAGAGTTATTAAAAAACAAAAGGGCGATAAACAAGAAAGAACTGAAATTGTTACTGTTGAGGAAGAAGGGAAATCTCCTGAAAGCGCAGTTATTACTGAATTATTAGAGGCTCCTGAAACAATTTATACTGTAGAAGAACTTCCAGAACAAGTTGAAGAAACTAGTGTTATAGAGCACGGTGTTCCAAAGAAAAAGATTACTAAAACGCGTAGAATTGTTAAGAAGGATGGCGACAAACGGGAAACTACTCAGATAGTTACAACAGAAAAAGAAGGAGAACAACCTGAAACACACGTTATCGTAGAAGAGAGTCAAGATTTCCCCGAACAAATGCCAGAGCAGCCGCAATACATTGTAGAGGAATTACCAGTAGAAATACAAGAAACAATTGTCATGGAACAAGGAAAGCCAAAGAAAACCGTTGTTAAAAAGAGGAAGATTAGAAAACAAAAGGGAGACCAACAAGAAACTACTCAAATTGTTACTGTAGAAGAAGAAGGTAAGCAACCTGAAACTACGGTGACTATTATTGAAGAGGATATACCGACGGAAACAGTCATTGAAGAGTTGCCAGAGGAAGTTGTACAAACTACAGTTATTGAAGAAGGCAAACCTAAAAAGAAAATAGTCAAAAAGAGAAAAATTAAAAAGAAGGAAGGCGATCAAGAAGAAACTACCGAAATAGTAACTATAGAAGAAGAGGGCAAACAACCAGAAGTAACAGTCTCCGTGATTGTTGAAACTATAACTGAAGTAGAAGATACAATAGTCCTTAAAGTAGATGATGATAAGAAACCTAAAAAAATGAAAGCCAGAAAGGTAATTTTCCAATCTCAGCCCTCAATTCCTGAGCAAGTCAAGCTCAAGCCATTCCAAAGAGTAGATAAACCTGAAATACCTGAGGATGAAAAGTTTGCTTTACCGGAATTAGTAAAACTAAAACCCGTAGTTAAAACTGAAAAACCAGAAGAAGTTGAAGAAATAGAAACTGTCAAACTAAGGCCAGTGGATCAGCCTGAATTAATGGAAGCCACCATTATAGAAAAGAAGAAAAAACCCAAAAAAATAAAAAGACAAGAGATCGACTTACCTGAAATTCCTGATGCTGAAAAATATATTCCTGAGGTAGCTGAAAAAATTGAAGTTGAAGAAAAACCTAAGGAAAAAGAAGAAGCTCCTGCAGCTCCTTGGAGGCGACAACCTAAACCTAAAGTTGAACAACCTGCAGAAGAAATTCCCGCATTAAAAATAGGCAAAGGTAAGATTCCCAAAGAAGAAGATATAAAAGAGCAAGTTAAACTAAAACCAGTTAAAAGAGACAAGGAAGAGAAAGTTGACATTCCTGAAAAATCCAAACCAATCAAAATACCGGAAAGCGATTCAAAACCGAGAGAATATGAACATGAAGATTTTACTCCTACTCTAAAGAAACTAAAAGAAAAAACAAAACCAGAAGAAGTTACTGTAATTGAACTCCACCCTACTGAAGTTACTGAGGAAGAGCATGCACCTGATACAACCACCCCTTGGAGAAGAACTCCTAAGAAAAAAATTGAAGAACAACCCGAAGTTAAAGATTGGCCCCGTGGTAAAAGAAAGCCTCTGCCAGAGGAAGAAAAAGAAGATATCAAACTCAAACCAATCAGCAAGGAAGCACCTGAAGAACCTGAATATAAAGTCATTATTGAGGATGTTAAAAAAGAAAAAGCTTATCAAATTCCTGATGATGTTTATGATGATAAATTAAGTATTAAACCTCAGGAAAAAGAAGATGAAGAGCAACCAGATAAAATTAAAAAGAAGAAGAAAATAAGGCGTCCTAAAGAAGAAGAGAGGCCAGAATTAGTTACAACTAAATTGGAAGATGTTGAAGAAATCCCTTCAGTTCCTGAAATATCTGAAAGTGAAATTGTTTTCAAACCAATAAAGGAACACCAAAAACCTGAGATCTTGGAAGAAGAAAAGCCAGAAATAGAAGAAAGCGAGGAATTCAAAAAAGATATAGATATGCAAGTTATTTCGAAAAAAGTTAAAGTTCAAAAGAAACGTACTGTTAAGTTTGACGACAGTCAACCGTTACCGGAATTGGAAATTATTTCTCAGAAACGTACTACAGAAGTCACTGATAAAGTTCCAGAAGAAACCCTTACGGAACAAACAGGTTTGCATGAAGAAACTACGATACAAACGTCTTTAGTTCAAAAGACTATTGGTAGACGCATTAAGACTAAAACCGTAGCGCCCAGATTTATTAAACGCGTTGAGCCTGTAGCCGCCGAAGAGGGTAAACCTACACAATTAGTGTGCAAAGTGGAGGGTACTCCATTCCCTGAAATTACTTGGTACAAAAACGAGGCTGTATTACATGCCAATGAAAGAGTTTTCATTAATATTGTTGAGAATGTGGTAACGTTGGAGTTTTCGACAGTGGAACCTCAGGATGTCGCTGTTTATTCCTGTAAAGCTACAAATCCTGGTGGCGTGGCTACATCGACGGCTAATTTGGTTATTTTAGGTATGAGTGTGTGGATTTTTTGCAAAGGCAAACATTTAATAGCTACGCCTTTGTGTTTTGCTTCACTTATGTTTACTGTTTGGCTAACCGACATTTGCTCAAGTTGATGAATTTTTAGGTTTTAGCTGCTTATTATTGCTGAACTGATAACATTTTACTTTTAGAAAAAGAAGAATCTGGTATTGCACCTCGATTCACCCAACCACTCAAACCTAAGATCGTCGAGGAAACTTCAAAAGCCACTTTACAGGCCACTGTTATTGGTCAACCGACTCCACTAGTCAAATGGTTTAAAGAAGATGAAGAACTCAAACCCCAGCCAGGCAGACTTATTTCTTATGACATCAAAACGGGCGAAACTGTTTTAGAAATTTTAGAGCCTACTCCTGACGATGAAAAAATTTACAAAGTCGTGGCTGAAAATAAGTTTGGTACTGCTGTTTGCCGTGCAAATTTGATTGTTTTCAAACCTGTAGACGTTCAACAACCTGTAGTAATGCAGGCTCCAAAAATAATCAGACCTATTAAAGCCGTAGTAGCTAAATCCGATGAAGAAGTAGTCCTCGATGCTATTATCGAAGGGGTACCTAAACCTGAAATTAAATGGTTCAGGAATGGAAAAGAAATTAGGCCCGATGATAAATATGAAATTATTGAAGAGGAAACGGTTACTAAGCTAAAAATTAAAAAGAAGGTTGCCAAAAAGCAAAAGGCTGGTAAATATGAAGTACGTGCTACTAATCCTAGAGGCACTGCTAAGTCAGCAAGTACTGTAGCTATCCAAGACGTAACAAGTGAGGCACAACCTCCAAGATGGATAAAACCTATCAAGCCACAAATAGTAGAAGAAGGTGAAGTTGTAATTATGGAGGCTATTGTGGAAGCATACCCTACAGCTACATTCCAATGGTTCATTGAAGACCTTCCAGTAATTTCCAGCCCCGATGTTCGTATAGTAACAGACGACAATAAATCTACCCTTCTGATTCAGGATGTAACTCCAGAATTTGCTGGTTTCATAACTTGCAGAGCTGAAAACGTAGCTGGCTCCGTTACCCACACAGCCAACATAATTGTTGTAAAAGAAATGCCTCTGGAAGAAACTGAAGAACTAATTTATCCTAGGTTTGTAAAGCCTATTACTCCAGTGAGCGTAATGGATGGAGAAAAAGTAACATTTAGTTGTGTTGTGGTTGGTAAGCCTACACCAAAAGTGCAGTGGTTCCTTAATGAGCAACCAGTAAAGGAAGCTCAGGACGTTGTTATAGCTCAGGATACAGAAGGAGTTTGTAGCTTGGCTATATTTGAAGCCTTCCCTGAAAATGCTGGCGAGTATACTTGTAGGTGAGTAGGTCTATCAATTTAAGATAAAGCCTTCTACTCTTTGTTTGTTGATAGTGTCATGTCTTATTATGCATTTCCTTTCCATTAAAATTAATTTGATAATTAGAAATTTGGATACAAATTTTTGCATCCAGAATTTATGTATCTAAAAAATTCCATGAAATTATTGTTTTCCTTTTCGTGATCAAGGGCTGTGAACAAGATTGGTGAAGCTGTCTGCAAAACCTCATTGGTGGTTGAAGCCTACGAATACATTCCAGATTCTGAATTAGGTCATTTGACCGGATCTGAAGAAGATTTATTGGAAGACAGGACGATCAGTGAAGGACCAATAACTTCAGACGAAGAAGATTATGCCCCTAGAATTGTTAAAAAATTGCCAGAGGTGGTCCAGACGAAAGATGGTCAAGTTACCAGGTAAATAGGATTTTTGTAAAAGTATTATTTATCTACTAAAATTTATCACTAAATTCTAGACTGGAAGTTAAAGTGAAAGGTAAACCCAAGCCAGAAGGGAAATGGCATAAACAGGGCCAGGAAATCATCCCTTCAAGCGAATTTATTATAGAAACATTTGAAGATGGTACGTCGGTTCTTACTCTACCGGAAACTTATCCCGATGACGTAGGTGAAATCGTCTACGAGGCACACAATCCGCTGGGCGTTGCAACGACAGTTACACATTTACTTGTGGAAACCGTAGAAGGTGATTTTTCACTTAAAGTTGGTGCCAGATTTTTTTATCAACAGCTAAACTGTTCTATTGAACTATCAAATATCTATATAGTTCTTCAGAAATAGGACTTGAACCGTTGATAAAGATACTGGTCAAATAATTAATAGTAAATTTTTTTTCAGCTGCCAACTATCAAGCCTCTGCAGCCCTATTTTTTCCCCGTTATTTTTGAAACATACATTCACACAACAATTGTCAATACACTAATGTTTGTATTGTCTTTTTTTTGTGCTTCAATTGAAGCACCTATATCAATCCTCTGAGAGTTACCTAACAACATTTTTTTTTTCTAGGAGTGATAGGAACAAAACTCTATCGTAAACCCGAATGGGTGACACACATGGAAGAACTTTCAGCCGCTCTAAAAGGTAAATATGAACCAAGCGTATCTTCACATGCATGCTCTATCGACGTGTCAACTGATAGCTTAGAAACTATACCGACTAAAAAGAAAACAAATCAGCAAGGTAAAGTATCCGTTGAATCATTGAAGTCGTTGTTGAGTAGCTTATCCGATGATGCTCCATTTTATTTGGCTGGCTCTAGGAAAAACTCTCAAACCTCCGTACAAAGTGAACCTCTATACGAAAAATCTAAATACAAAAATGATTTTATTGCTTCTACAATGACAGATTACTTGAATTCGCATAGGCATTCTGTTGGATCAGTTATGGAGATTCTTTCTTCTGATAAACCCCAGAAAGAGTCTTGCTATGAGAGTTTTGACATCGTTAATAGTGATTATGAAGAATTAGAGCAGCCAGAGCCTCAAGAAATTTACGATGAAGATCCTTTTTTTATTTTGTCTCCTATTGAAGAAAAAAGTGAACCATCTACAAGATCGAGTAGTTTTAAAGGAAGCAGTGGTTCAGAGCAACGCAAATACTACTCCTCTTCTTGCAATGCTTTACCTAGAAATCGTGAGGCTGCCGAATTTTATCACGAAGAAAAATACCATACTTTACCAAGAATGAAAAATGATTCGAGTAAAGTTTACAGTAACACAATGTATCCATTAGAACCTCGGGAAATTGATCCGAGTGCTTTTTTCCAATTACACACAGCCGATTCGCAAGAAGAACTCCAAGAGTTTCTTCTCCTAGAAAGCGAATGCATGAGCGACAGAGGTAGAGGGCTGGCTTCAGCTTTTTGCTCCGATCACGAAGAAGATTCATCGCTCCAAACAGTCAAGTATCCAGGTAACCTAACCCTGAGTTTTTTGTGTGTAGCTTAACTAATTTTTCGATGTTTGATTCTCGCTTGTTTAGATCAATAAGTTCCTTCCAGCATGGCCAGGCAATAAATCCAGAATTTGATCCACCCAGGTAATAATATTGATTTTCCATTTCTAAACGGTTGGTTCCTTTTGAAACCCATCAGAATCCTTAAAATTAAAAATTTACACGAAAATTCTGATTTACTGTGCCCTTATTTTATGGATCCTGACTTATTTTCAATAATCTAAACAAAAACAAATATAGGTATAATACCTACTTAGGAATTATTATTTTAAAGATTGAGATAATTTTTTCTCCTATGACTATTGGCATGATTGCCCCCATTGAAGGCATGTTGTATTGTGCATTTATTTCGTAAGTATGGCATTTTGGGCACGCATTTTAGCAAGAAATAATTACCTGTAAAATTGGTCTTCATTTACCATTTTTATTTTTACTGAAGTAAACGTCATACCATTTGTCGTAACATATTCCACAAAAGCGAAACATTTCAAAAGCTTTAAAAAAAATACCTTACATTTTTCAGCTGTCCAATCAGCACCAACCTTTGCCAAAGAAATCACAGATGTCAGAACTACTGAAGCTGAAACTATTGTATTTGACTGCATCTTTACTGGAACGCCAACCCCAGGTAAAAATAAATGAAAATAACCCAGAAAAATGAAATAAAAAAATCAATAATCATTTCAGATATTATCTGGTATCACAATGACAAAATAATACGCAACACCGAAAACGTCAAGATCCGCATCGAAGGCAACAAAACTTCATGTACCATTACCGAAGTATCCAAAGACCATGTTGGTACTTATGTTTGTAAAGCGATAAGTGAAGTTGGTGAAGTTGTAACCAAAGGTCGCTTATTCGTACAAGAAATTTCCGAAGAGGCTAAAAAAGTTATTCTTATCAAGAGAGCTAAAGAACAAGAAGAGAAGATCAAGAAAGAACGAGTCACTATTGAAAAGAAACGTGAAGTGAGGAAGAAGCAGCGAGCTTCAATAACCACTGAAGAAGAAATCAAACCTCTAGGAGTCACTGAAATTCAGCCTAGTGAAGCCACTGAAGAAATTCCCGAAAAAGCTATTCCTGAAAAGGGAAAAGCTAAGCCTATTCTGGATATTCAAGAACCTGTGAAAACCGAAGCTGTGGCTTCATGTAAAAAGATTGATGAAAAAGAAACTGAAAGTCCTATGCAGAGAGTAACTGAGAAGTTATCTCCAGTGGAACCTTTGCGTATCGATGAAGTACTTGCAGAAGAGATTATCAAAGACATTGAAAAAATGTTGCCACAAACTGACAGGGCTAAGCCTAGCATTCAGGAAGGCCCTCAAGAAACCGTTAGCGTTACAGAGGTAAAGCTCGAACAAATCATTGAAAGATGTGAGAAAATCATTAGAAAGAGTGAAGTCAAAATGGCAAAAGAAGTAACAGAAATGTTGAAGCTCATCAAGGCCGAACAATTTGAAACAGGACAAGCACCATTAAGAGAAATAGCTGAAATTGCCTACCTTCTCAAAAATGGTATAACAGTAAAAGAAGTTACAATCCTCTATGACGACAATAAATTCCCATCGTTAAAATCTCCAGAAGCTCAGTCAGCTATGGTAAATGTAGTTGAACGGAAAGGACTCGGAGCCCTAATTTCTGAAGTTTTAACTGAAGAAACTACGATTGACGAAAGCCAATTGGTAGCTACAGTCGGATTCAGAGCTTTGATGAAGATGGTCGAATCGAATTATGTAACTATTGAAGAAATTCTTACTAACTTCATGCCGGAGGACTTTATGCAGAGAGTTTGGGAAGCTACCGAAGTTACAGAGGTACAATCATTTTTGCTTTTTCTATCCTCCATATCTAAACAAAAATGAGTTTTGAAACTGTTAATAATAAATATTTTCTTTATTCCAGATATCAACTAAAGAAATAATTACCGAAAAGGTGACAATCGAACAGCAAGTTGAAGTTCACGAGGGTGAGTTTTGAGCATTCCAGAGCTTTTGTGCGCGTTTTTAAGCTTTTAGAGACTTTTGTGTTTTATTTAATATTGCCTGCCAATGTTTGTTAATGTATGTTTTGTTTTATTTTATTTTTATTAATGTTCCTTATTTTTAATTTTAGCTTTGGTATATGTATATTTTCGTGTTACAGTTTACAATGAAATAAATTAGTTTATAAATAATGTTTTTAATTTGTATAGATACCACCAAAATCGTCAAGAAAAAATCTAAAAAGAAGGGAGAAAAAGATGGTGAGTAATTGTTTGAGTGAAATAATTGATTTTGATAAAAATTATAAGGCATATTTTAACATGTAATCGTCGTAAAAAGTCGTCGACTGGGCCGCCGCCGCGTTTATTTATTGTGAAATCGTCCAATCACCAACTTATTTTTGAAGTTACTTTCTGAGCAATGCTTTTTGCTGCCGCTTATAGTGTTAACGAGCAATATTATTTAAGCTAATCAGTGAGTTAAGTGCAACTAGAGCAACGTTTATTTTGCAAAAAAAAAATATAGCAGCACAGCAGTCAGTGTCATTTAACCCTTTAGCCGGCATGGCTTTTTTAGCGCTTCAAGGTATGTAATGGCTAATTTTGATTTCTTTTTTATATTATTTACAAAACCTCTATTTCATCTACTCATTCATTTTATATTCACCTATACTCACACAAAAAAAAACACTAAAAAAATTCCCCCTTTTTTACTCTATAACAAAAAAACTAATGCTTATTACACTTTTTTTATACACCCTTGGCTTTTTAGCACTTTTGCAATAAAGCGCGATCTTATACGGAACGGAACTACCTCAACGTAGTAATTAGTGGCCATGATTCATTTTGTTGTAATTTTTGTAGAGTTTAAGCATGTTCGCTAAAGGCCAATAATAGCGGGTAAATGCAAAAATTGAAAATGCAATGAACAAAGATTTCATCATTTCCAAGAAAAGAAATAATCAAAAATAATTAAAGGTTATAGCCCTGGTGTACAAAAGTACAACGCTTTCGGGCAGTTTCTTTATATTTTTATTCGATTGTACCCACATTGTGCAGATATATTTGGGGTGTCAGCTGGCTAAGTGGCGGTGGGGGTATTTGCTATGGGCTTGTAAACACATCAAAAAAATCGTGACGGGAATCACTCCCGGGCAGCACGAAACTTTGATGAACGGTAAATTATGTTCCATAATGAACAAAGAACAATGTCCGCTAGCCAAGGGGTGGTGGGGTACTTGGTCAGCTCGGGGTGTGGATGAGTCCGAAAATGCGAATTTTCAAAACGATGTCGGACAACTTGGAATTTGGATGGATACTAATATTTTATATATGATTCACGGAAAAAAGTATCAGCTGCTTGTATGTCGGTGGAAAAGTTGTCAGCTCCGGTCACAAAAGGTTCCGTGCGTAGACGCGCTGTTAGCTGCTGCTCACAACCTTTAATGCATCAGCTTACAATCTTTCCACCAACATACGAGCAGCTGATACTTTCGGGAATCACATATAAAAAATATTGGTATCCAATTAAATTACAAATTTCACGAAATCATTTTCGATGATTTATCATGAAAAGGATGCATGGGGCAATCTCGACTTGAATCTGTTGTTACCAAAAATATCGAACAGTTATTCCACAGCCCGACTCCATTTAACAAGCCGTGAACAACCACTTGGCAACGCCACAACCGGCAAGAGATTCAGATCGGTTTCTAGCGAGCGCGACGGGCCGTAATCCGGATATCGAGGCGCGTATTTTCAAATTCATTCAAGGCTCGATTTAAAGATCTCGTAAATAGTATTGATATTTTCATTAAAATAATTAAATCAATAATAACTGGTATAATTAATAATTGAAAGGGCATAAGAACATGATGCTGCTGTGAAAAGAAACAAGTGCAATTTAAGATTTAGTTAGTAATTGTACTTAGTTCTAGTTTTGTTTAATTATTTATGGAATGTGTCGTTTCCTTTTTTTTTTTTTTTTTTGGACTCAGCCTTTTCCGATTTTTCTGTGGCATTTTTTATTATTTAATTTATTTAAGAGAATGTTTGAAAATATAGAGCACATCATAATGAACATATTTTTGTTCTCGTTTTTGTCATTCTGTAGGAACTTTTAAACCGCCATGTTGTAGACAATCAACGTATTCGTCGTCAATTAGGTTTCCCTTACTTTCAACAAGAAAAGAAACACAGATGTTACAATTATTATATTTTTTTACGATTTTCTGGGCAGCATAACCGGCTATATAAATTTGTACTGATTTGTCAATTTCATTTTCATTAAGGTATTCACTTTCAAGTAAAAACAAAAATTTTTCAATAGTAATATAACTAGTGCAATGGAAATTATTGATAATTTTTGGGAAATTTGCCCGAATGCATTTTTAGTTGAAAAAGAGCACGAGTGCACGTAGTGCACGAGTGCCTTTTTCAGTTAAAAACGCATGAGTGCAAATTTGTCGAAAATTATAAATATATTTCCATTGCACGAGTTGTATTTAATGAGAGAATTTGATAAATCAAAAATTTAAATTTTTTGTCAAAAAATGTCAAAACACCAGTTTTCGCACCAGTTAGTATGCAATTATCTGATAATTTGCACTAGTGCAAATTATCGCGTAATTACAATCTGATTGGTTCAAATCAACAATCAAAACATGTCAATTTATTGTTGGAATACCAGTTTTGACAGATGTATGAAATTCTCAGTATAATTATTTTGAGGCATTGTCCAATCAAGATCATTTTCCTGGATGCAGGATGATGTTTGAGTCTAATTTTTTTCTCTGCATTTAAAATATCATCAAAGCTAACATTGTAATTACAAGCTCCGAGAAGTCTGTATTTACCAAATTTTTTTTTCTAATTTTTCAGTTGTAAAGTTACCTGGTAAAATATACAAAAATTAAATTTTGAAAATGAATACTCAATTATTTCTAGTAAAACAGCTGTACTATGGCAAAGTGCAGATATGTATCGTTTGTAAGACGACCATTATTGTTTTCAAGTTTATGCCAAGCTTCAACCCAGGTAACAAATTTTCTTAGAAAATTGACAGAGAAATGATCAATGTTAGAGATGGGATCGCAAATACTCGTTTCTTTTTATTTTACCCCTTAAAATACTAGTATTACTGACAATATCCCACCAATGTCTGATAGCTTCAAGAAAAGATGCTAGGTCTTTAAAACCAAACTCATTTAAAGCAGCGATTGTTGAAAAATTACATACAGGGTGTTTGGTAGGTCGATGCATATATTTTGGAAGGTGATTATTATTATTATTATTATTATTATATAGCATTTATTGTTCAATTTTTCATGTAATACAAGAAATTTTGCACATGCACAATAAATACAGTAAGCCCACAAGAGTAAACTCGCGCGTGGGCGTTAAGGAACCTAAAGTACATAAGCTATAAATTCTTGAGAAAAATGATTAATACCATAAAACTATACTAAAATAAAAATATGACTAAATTTTTGTTATACACACATATAGTCCGTTGCATGGTTCTTGAGCTACGACTACTGAATAGACAGAAAGGACAATGGGCTATTGCTGCGATGTCATATCACTAATAATATTTATTATTACATGAAAATGAAGGAAATTTTATTGCAATTTTCATTTATATTAACAAATATTTTCGATATGACAACTGACAACGCAGCAATAGCCCATTGTCCCCTCTGTCTAATCAGTAGCCGTAGGTCAAGAACCATGCAACGGACTATACCTAATGTATTATTATACTACCATAATTATATTATATCATACATTGCTATGATTATAATCAAATCAGTTTTTCGAAAATAAATTTTCGAAAAATCGAAAAATACTTGGCAGTGCATCGAATCCAAGTTATTAGAGGTTTTTTTGGAAAACACAAGTGTTTCGCCAAAGCTCCAACACACTGTAATTACTCATACTATGAGTTGTATTGCTCTGACTCGGTCAGATTTACGCAATACTAGCTTATATTGCACTGACGAGGACATAACAAGTCCGAAACCGGTCTGCAATTAGCGATAGTACCCAATGAAAGAGAATTCAGATTTCTCCATTGTCTTACAAAGCAAAACCACCAAGTAAGTATTGCGTAAATCTGACCGTGTCAGAGCAATACAACTCATAGTATGAGTAATTAGCAGTGTGTTGGAGCTTTGGCGAAACACTTGTGTTTTCCTAAAAAACCTCTAATAACTATGATTATAATCGTTTTTTTCGTCAAGTAACTGGTAAATTTCATTTCTATTTGTTATTGAGTATAGCATTTGTTTTGTTACCTTTTTAAATATTATGAATGATTGTGAGGTCCTGATAACAGAAACAATTTTTGTATATACATTGGCACTGAGGTAGATGAAACAGCGCTGTCCAATGGTTTTCTTCATTTGTGGTTTAGCTATAGAATTCTGTCTGTGACGAGTATTGTAGTCATGCTCTATGTTTTGTACGATTGTTTTCTTTTTATATAGCCTATTTGCCATTACTTGAAAAAACAATAACCGTGGGTCAAGAATGTTGGTATCAGAAAAAAGGAGATCGGTAGGGTAAAGTCTATCTTTCCGGTAAATAAGCTTAATAAGCCATTTCTGTACTACATTAACACTCTTTCGTGTCGTAACGCCACCCCATGCTATTAGCCCGTATGTTAAATCAGATTGAACTAAAGCGTAATATAGAAATTTGAGCTGATTCAAAGAAAATATTTCCCTGTAAAATCTGCATAAAGGCAATAAAGATCTCAGTTTTTTAGTGACATATTCCGTTTGATAATCCCATCTCAGGTGGGAATCACTAAAATTAAAATCCAAAGAATTGTAGGGAGGAAGGCCTGTTGTGTAACTACTAAATGGCATAAAAAACGTCTCTCAAAATTCATGCTGAGTAAGTTGTTGTTAAACCAAGTTAATAATTTTGGAAAATCATCAATTATGAGACTGTAAAGCTCTTCCCAGGTACTAGCTGTATACTGAACCCCGGCGTCATCAGCGAAATTGATCACTTCAGCCTTACTGTCGACTTCGTGAAGGAATTGCCGATAACGCCGTTGATTTCGACAGATTGTTCTCTCCCATTTAGGTAGCTCTGAAAAAGTTTAACAGCTGTCTCATCATCGAAGCCAATATTTTCCAGTTTCTCAATCATTAGACCATGAAATATGGTATCAAAAGCCATGGCGAGGTCAACGAAGATACATATAGACGGAGTACTTTTATCCACTGATTGGTATACTTTTGAAATAAAAT